CAATCAGTTTAAAAATTACATTATTTTTGTCCTTATTGAGCGTTCTAGAATTTTTTTAGTCAAAAACCCTATTATTTTACAAAATTATGTCAGAAATAGACAAAAAAAACTGCTCAATTAATTCGAAAACTAGATAATTTTTGCATTTTTATGAGTTTTAGCATGTTTTTTAATCAAAAATAAAATTACGTTAAAACCGGCCAATAAGCACTCAACTAGTCAGAAAATGTCATAAATTTTAAAATTTGTATGCATTTAGGTGTATTTTCTGTCAAAAACGCAATTATTTTACAAAAACAACACCCAATTAATGTGCAAATTATGTTGTTGTTGCTCTTTTTACAAAGTCTAGCATTTTTTTAGCCAGAAACGCAATTATTTTGAAAATTTTAGTCAAATAAGTCAAAAAACATTCAATTAATTCGCAAATTACTCTTTTTGAGCGTTCTAGCATTTTCTTTTAGTGAGAAACGCAATTATTTTTCAAAATTACGACAGAAATAATTCAAAAAATACTCAATTAGTTTGAAAACCACATAAGTGTTCCATTTTTATGAGAGTTTTGTTAAGTTTTTTAGTCAGAAATGCAATAAATTTTTAAAATTACGTTACAAACGATCAACAAACACCAAACTAGTTCCAAAATGTGATAATTTTTTATCTTTTCAAGCGTTAAGCAGTATTTTCAGGCAAAAGCGCAATTATTTTGCAAAATTACTCTCAAAATAAACCAAAAAACACCCACTTAGTTTGCAAATTACATTATTTTTGCCCTTTTTGAGATGGATGAACTTTCAGGTTTGCTTAATGAGGTTACGTTTTCAGAATGCCTCAGGATGATAATTAAAAATTAAACGCGAGGGTGTGTAATTTTAATAAAATAATATCATTGTGTTTTGATGGAAAAATCAAACAATGATGAAAGAAAGTCAACTTTTCCTTTCTTGGATCACGCGAAATGATTTGGAAAAAATCTGAAACAATCAACAATTTTTTACACCTTCTGTGTAACAACAACCACAATCAATGAGATTATGCTCAAAAGTAAACAAAAATGTTACTTTCTTCTTAAAGTGAAATTTTTCACTTATTTTAGTTATTACATTGAGTGGAATTTGAAACAGCCATACAAATATTTAAGATACCTGTAGGTGAGAATTCTCACTAGATATTGGAAAAGGAAAGCTTCGAGTAAATAAATATTGAGTCACAAATTTTCTTTTCTTAATTAAATTTTATGTTTGAATTTCACCTTAATTCCAAAACCGGATTTTAATAATTTTTGAAATATTTTCAAACTTGAGTTTTATTTACAACGTTAAATCAAAAAAAATGCCACTTTCTAGTACCGAAGGTTCCTTTAAATTTGTGGTCAATTAGTCTATGATTTTGTTGGCAACACTGCATAATATGTAGAGTTGTGAGATATGAAAATTGATAAGTTTATTTTTTCATATTTTTAGCGAAATTATTCAAGATTTACTTCAAACAAATTTCGAAATCATCTTTGACTAGAAATGTAACTTATTTTTAAACAGTTGAAAATTGCGTTTTAGAAACGGTAAAGGTTTTGTAACCGGAGTTGAAATAAGTCCTAGGAGTTGAAATGTCCACAGGGGCGGCTCGACCGAGTCAATTAGAGGTCATTTGAAGTATTTCACATGGTGAAATCACGATTTATTTATTAATAGTTATACCAATTATTTAATAATTAAATTTTTTCTACTATTAAAAAAGTTTCGAAAAAAGCGAAATCCAAATTATGTCTCAATATTTAACCGATGTCACTGTGGTGTAACACGAGTCGCCCATGTTCATGAATGACAGATGTCAAAATCGAAAGTAGCAAGGTGGCTGTTTAAACTTAAAAACTAAACAGAATCCAAATTTCCATTTTTTTGTGATCCGCTTGATAAAATAGTTTACAGGGTCGCTAAAAAGTATGGATACAATTGAATATTATAAAAAATATTCATCAAAAATTATTGAAATTTGGTATAGGCTTATTAGTATTTAAATTTCATCACCTCAGATGTTTATCAAACTTCTATCTCCATTTGGGGATACAAGGCTAACTTGTTTTTTTTTTTAATGGCAAGAAGGGTCAAATTTAATATTTTTAAGAAGACCATTTTTTTCTGTAATGTAACACAAGCATACCTTATTTAAATCGAAACTTTAAAAAAATTATCGAACTAGTTCAATTTTAAAAATTTACTTTTTTTTAGTCTTGGAAATGTTGCCTTTATCTAACGTTAGCTCTTTTCCGCCTGAACTTTGACCAAAAAAATATGTAAACTGTTTCCCAAATTTCATGTTGCTCTGCTAAACCGTTCTGAAAATATTTAATTGTATTCATACTTTTTAGCCACCCTATATATAATTCAGAATAGAAGGTTTTTTTGTATTCGCTTTGTTGGGCCTTCAATCTCTGGGTTTAACACAAAAAAACTCACTTCAGTTCTTAATGATATAATGTACTAGTTTTTGGAAAATAACGTATTTGTTTACTTTTTTTTTTCTTTTTTTTTTTTTTAGACATCGATACTTTTTCTTTCATTTGTAATTCTTAAAACAAGGTATTCAAACGTATTCTTTCAACTAAAACTTAAAAAAAATATAAGGTATTATTTTATTTTTCTACTGTCTTTTGGAAAATTTAATAAACGTAACAATAAATAATAAATATAAAATAAGAAAAAATCAAAAATAATTCACTTAAATACCTACACAAAAATTAAAATATACTTCCAGCGAAAAAACTATTCTTTTTTTACTACAAGAGTATAATTATTCTACAAAATGATATTTTTCTGTGTAAGAATCTAAGCATTTTATTTTTGATTTTTTCTTACTTTCTTAGTATCAATTTATATAATTATACTCTTTTAATCTTGTAGTGAAGAAAGAATAGTTCTTTAACAATTTAGCTGAAAGTAATATTTTAATTATGGTCTTTTAATTCGCGGTGTTTAAATTACTTGTACGTTTTGTTAACAAGATTTTTTTTCAAATTACGTACACCAGGTGTCGTAAGTCGAAGACGTAATAGTGAAAACAAAGACCCATAGTGAAAAATTTTACGTAACCAAAGTGAAAAACGCCATTGTTTCACACATGTCTGGGAAAACACTCAAGTAATTAGAACAAGCGATTACGAACTTTAAATTAATTCTGAGACATTTGTTTACCAAATAACTTTTGCAAAACATGGTGATTTTATAATATCATCTATTTATGGTGTTGTGAATTTAATGCATAATTAATTCCGAACAAATTCTAGAACACTAGACACACCAAACTGTATCAAAATACAACCTTGCTTTAATTTGCTCTAGATTTCTCACCTTTATACAAAATTCAAGTTTTGTTTAGAGTGGAATTTCCAGTGACGTTACTTTCCGATTTTTAATTAGCATAATTTGTTTTGACTCGTCTTGATTGACCAAGGCCAATACTATTTTAACGATAATGCATTTTAGTTGTATTTTTCGCAAACATGTTTACAAATATTTGTTGCCCTTGTAGCATGTTTCGCGACACGAATCGCCACAGCCGCCGTCATCTTAGTCTCCCTCCTCGACAGTCAATTCGCTTTCTGTTCCATGCAGATAGCACCGAATAAGAAAGATAAGAAGAAATTGCACGGCTCCCACGAACAAGTCTCCGACATTGAATACATTATACCAAGGGTGAGTTGTCTTGAAATTTGTGAAATTTCACCAAGAATTTTATTACAGCCAAAAGCGACCAAACCAACAACTGTTTACAACGCTTATTCCCAAAGTTGGGTCTTTGAATCGGACAATGCAAGTTGTTCAAACACTACTGAATCGCCATATTTGAAAATCTTAGAAAATGGAACTCCCAAAACAAAGTCAAAGAAATTGCAAAATGGCGTCGTGTGTGACACTACACACTTGATTGATAATCCTGTGGTGCACATCGAGGAGGCTTCGGATGATAGTAATAGTAATAGTGATAGGAAACTTTGTCATATGAGGAGTTTCTCGCGTTCGGCTTCGCCTGTGCTATCCGGGGGGTCTTCTCATGTCAATTTGCACCAAAGTAGTAACAATCCTCCGATTTATGATTGCTTGGAGAGTATCTACAGGACGAGGTTAAACACAGGACCTAGAGAAGAGGAGCATTATCAAGCCCCTCAAACAATGGTTTTGCGTCGTGTGGAGTCAGTTAGCCCCCATGTGGAGAAGGTCCAATATGCCTCTCTGATGAAGGAGCTTCAAAGGGCTATAGTCAGTAAGAAGGAGACGTCCCCTAGCACCGACTCCAAGAGTAGCAAAAGCAGCGATGCTGAGTTCTCCAAGGAGTTGGAGGCGGCCCTCCAACTCATCCAAGACTTGGAGAGTCCCAACACGATTGAGACTCCTTCCGAGCCGAAGCCTTTAGCCGTGTGGCGGACCAGTGAAAGTGAGAGTGAAAAGACTCTAAGTGCTGTGGGCTCCCTCGCCGAAATCACCTCCCCCATGGAGTGCCAATCCGAGTTGGCGACGAACGGTAAGCCCGCCAGCGTTATAATCCACAACCCCGACTCCCAGAGCACCTCGGGGTACAGCTCCCCCACCCATCCGACTCCCAGCTGGTCCACGACTTCGTCCCTCAATGGAAGCAGTAACGACATGGCCTACTCCATACATAACGCACATTCCGGTACGGTCATCTCCCTCTATTCCCAAGTTAACCCACAATCCAAAGGCAAATCAGTAACACTAGTCAACATAAACGGCTCCTCCGCCCCGATTCTTCACGATGTTAGCATGGCCAAAACTGGGGACAAAAACCCACCGGGCTGGAAGTCGCTCTTGAGGAAGAAAAAACAACCCCCGAAGTTGTGTCCGGAGCTCGAGGGGGCGATTATTAAGTCAGAGAGTTTGGCTTATCTCTCCGAACTTGAGTTACTAGCAAGGCATCAGAGAAATAAAGAGATACAAAGGGTAAGGATGACGGGGATGGATACTAACCGCGGTGGAGGCTTAAACTAACACATTTTTCATTGTTCTTCCATTTAACCTTGATTCTTAACTGAGAGATGCTCCAGTCTTTTAATTTTTTTGTTTCAAACAAAAACACTGGGGTATCTTGTGAGTGCTTGACGCTTGGCTCTTCTCTCATTATCGTGTGCTTTGCAGGAAATCGAAGAAAGAGTCATCCAACAGCTGGGTACTCCAAGGACTGAGTCAAATTGCTAAAACTCAATTAGCGAACTTGAAACCCCTCAACTTGAGCTGCAGGTCAGCGACGTCCATTTTTTTCAATTCTACGATTTATATTTTCGATACTTGTACGTAACATCTCTATGTGTACATATTGTTGTTATAGTTATATAGTTTATATTATAATTCTATTGTAAATATTACAATAAAAAGTCCCTTTTATAATGTACCTTTCTTTTTTATATTTGGTATTATTTATACGTAATGAGAGAAAAACAATAAAAACGATTTCAATTTCTAAGTCGTTTCACTTTCTTATGTCTAAATTCCCACAAATAATACAAGAAATCAATGAATGTACAATCAGCATAGAAAAGATTGTCCTCCTAATAAACCGCCCGGACCCTTAGAGGCTGAACTCATAAACCACAACAATAAATCTTTTCCATTGTAAACGTCATTTCTTACTTAACAGTATATTTAGTTTGAAGTGAAGCTCAATTGAGTAAATAACAAATTATTTTGAAAAATTCACAACTTTATACTGCATCTAAAAATTAAATTAAAAAATAATTTTAATTAATGTTTAATTTGTTATTTATACAGGATGCGCCAGAACTCGCGCCCCAGAGAAAAATGCCATATAAGGTAAGATACCAGGAACATGGAAAAAATGTTAAAAAAAAATTATCTATAAAAATTTCGAAGTTATGAGGGTTTAACGTTTGCACTTTGACTCTATTTATTTCCGTTGTAAAAATAATTTTCCAAGTTTTTTGCTATAGCCTATTAAAAGAGGAAACAAGCAAGCTGTATCCTAAATTGTAACTCTGTTCAATGTTATTTGTGGCTTTTATTGGCAAAATTTTTGTCCCTTTACTAAATAATTGTAAAAAAACATGTACAAAATCATCAGTATCCTTAAATAGATATAAAAAAAATGTCAAATGTCAAAAATTAAATGTTAAAATTTTTTGGCAGATAGAATTTTTTAAACATTTTTTTCATGTTCCTGGTATCTTACCTTACTTGAAAATTTTCTCTGGGGCGCGAGTTCTGGCGCACCCTGTTACTAAAGTAGCAAGTAAATGGCATAATTAAATAAACAATATTATCATTAGTAATACCTAATAAAAACCATTTATTATTAGGAATTAAAATGACCAAATCTAACCAGACACAATGTAACATAACGCTTTAATTTATTGATAGCTTAATTCTTTTTATATGGAAACAAGTGTTGCAACTGACAAATTAAATAATTTCATATCATTTTTATTCAATCCAAACAAACTTTGACAACAATGACTCGATTTTCTAAATATTTGATAATTAAATTTTTCTATAGTAAACAGAAGATAAAATATTTAAAAAAAAATGTAGATTATTTATTATGTAGTTAGGTATTTTTTTCTTACTACAACAGTGTTTGTTTTATTCGTATTCAAAATTAATTTGCAAAATATTATTGTATTAAAGTAATTTTTTGGTAATAATTTTCCAATGGCTATGAATTTTTTTTTAATACACAAAAATAAAAGTTGATTAATTTAGTTTTAATAATATAACTGAAGTGAACAATTATTAGCAAAAACAAATTCGTAAATTTGTTACAATTGCCTTGCGATTGCAATATCTTGGTTGCAAAAATCTCAATAGTTCAATTTAAATATTTATTTTTTGTAAAGGTTGCTACGAGTTCAAAAGATTTAGCACGTCTACCTGTTTGAATTGAATAAAAATTAATAATGAAATTATTTTATTTGTCCTTTACAAATTTACCAAAAAAAAGTATCAATATTTTAAAGCGTTTTAATAAATAGTTACTGGTTAGATTCGGTCATTTTATTTTATCATAATAGATAGTTTTTTTAGGTATTTCTAATAATACTATTGTTTATTTAATTTTGCCATTTAAAATGGCATTTACTTGTTATCTTAGTAAATAAATAACTAATTAAAAGTTAAATAAAATATTTTTTTAAATTCAATTTTTAACAATATAAAGTTGTGAATCTTTTAAAATAATTTGTTATTTACTCAATTGAGCTTCACTTCAAACTAAATATACTGTTAAATAGTTAAATAAGAAATGAGGTTTACAATGGAAAAGATTTATTGTTATTGTTTTTTGAGTTCAGCCTCTATAAGGATCCGCGCGGTTTATTAGGAGGATATTCTTTTCTACACTGATTGTACACAAAATAGTATATTATATCACAATGTAGAAAAGAGATTTTTTTATAGCCAAGCTGTGATGCTACGCATCTCGGGAAATAATAAATGCGAGGCTATTCTTCTTTACCGTGTTTTATATAACATTTTTTTCACTACTAGCACATTTATTACCCAAAAATATAACCCTACTTAATGGACATGTTGTTTCAACATGTCGTAATTCAGACTACTATTTTTGTTAATTCACTATTACCTACAGTAATTAATTACTTACCTGAATTATTAACTTAAATTGAAGTATTATTTTCTTTTTATCGTGAATGAGGTAATATCAATTTTGTACTTCTGCAACTATTGAAAGAATTTTCTTCATAATATGAATTAATATAAAAATAACAAAGAAACTGCAAAAAAGGGAAAAAGTGTTAAAATTTGCTTCACTACTGGTAGTATTTTAACAAGAAATAAACCCATTTGTTGTTTTGACAGTTTTGACGTAGACAAAAGTAGTAGAGTTGGTGTTGTTCTGATGTTTTTTATAAAGAAATTTAAGTCTGTTTTATTTGATTTTGCATTAATTTTATCTCCAAGTACGTTCGTTAGTACTTGTAATAGTTTTCAATAATAATGTTCTAGAAATATTTGTATTAATGTAATACCCTCCAACTTCGGCATGTGCCCACCTCTAATACATTTTAACCCTTGGTCCATTATGAAAATGATTATTAACTACTAGGAAAGAAAAAGATCTTCACAACCTCTTGATAAACTAAATAATGGTATCTTTTTCAGCTAGTAGGTAGTAAAAAAAACATAATTTATGAACTGATTACATGAGTCTTTTGTGTTTTTCCCGGCGCATCCACCAAAAACCGATAACAACAATTGAGTTTTTTCAGACACTTTTTTCTAAAATCTACTATTATTATGTATTATGTTAGAAAAAACAATAAAAACCGTTGTGATTTCCAATTCGTTTCACTTTCTTATCCTCAAATCTCCATAAATAACAAGGCGACCCAAAACTCGCATAAATTAAATTCCGTCTGGCAATAAATTGATTTAAAACTGTTCTGAAGTAAAGTTTATGTTTCTGTTTGAATTGAAGTTGGGAAAAAAAGCTGGATTATTGAAACAACAAAGTACATAAATAATTGAGAAGGAAAACACAAGTTATTAAATGATTACAGCATTTTTTGTTAGTGCTCGCTTTTTTGTGCTGTTGTGTGCGTAACAAAAGCATTTTGTTCGCATACTGTAAAGGAAAGGTTTTTCCTTCATTTTTAATTTAGCATAAGATATTTATGATGACGTCTAAAGCTTCGAAAGGGAAAGTTTCTTTTCAAAAAACTCAGTATATGGACGTACGACATTCTTGCATTTTCATGCTGGGATGTATATTTGGTTGCATAATGTGCGTAATAAAAATCCTTTGAAAGTAAGCAACAATACTATTTTCTTTCTTAAAACACGTTTTTGTCAAAAACAATAACAAATGATAGTTTATTATAATTAATCAACAATGACAGGTTTTTTAATAATAATTCTCCCGGCGCATCCACCAAAATATTTAATACCGGGTAATCTTTATAACAAAAAAGTTTATTGGCAATAGTGAATTACTGACAGTCCTTCTAATTTATTGTTATACCAGAATGTTTCAAGTGGCGGCTAAATCAGCAGTTATCCGTCGCAAATAAGTGACAATTGCCTATAAAAGTTTGAATTTGAAAGTCAAGGTTGCCAAACTAAAATTGTAAATTTGACACCACCTTGATGTAAAAAATTACAATCATGTACAGTCAGTCGGTATTAGAATTCACTATGTTGGACTTTATTCAAATAAAAAAAAATATTAGTTTTATAAAAAAAATATTATTATTATTATTATTTATTGTGCAAAATGTCAGTAAAATATTTTTTAGAAATATTTTTTAGAAAACATTCAAACCACTGATAAGGATTGTACTGGGGATTAATTGAATTATAATACTCTTGTTATTTTTTAAAAGAGTAAAACGTAAAATATTTATTTTATTGCTAATAAATTCAATTTTTATCAGAAATACGTGATCAACAAGTAACCATACAAAACTCTTAAATTTAATGTGTTTATTATCTCAAAAACAAGTTAAATCGTCTAAAATTGGTTGATTTATAGCGTTATTCTGCTTTAAACGACGATTTTCTTACTTATTGTGACAAAATTTTGAGTTTGTGTCTCAAAATCGCGTTAAATCGCTCAAAATTGGCTGAAATAAAGTAATTCTGTGACGAAAATTTCAATTTTCGTACTTGTTTCGGTAAAATTTCAATAAAATTAAATTTAATGAATTTTGTTTCACAAACGAGTTAAATTTTTCGAATTTGGTAAGCTTCTGGCACAAAAATGAGTTAAGTTGTTCAGATTATCCAGAAATGGAGGTATTCTTTGACAATTTTTGGTTTTTGGTACTTGTTTCAGCAAAATTTTTGAATTTAATAACTCAAATATGTATGTCATTATGACTTAAAACAACAATTTTTATAAAATCTTCCGACTTAATGAGTTTCTGGTTCAAAAAAGAGTTAAAACGCTCAAATTTTGCGTTGTTCTGGCCTAAAAGATGATTTTTTTATTTAACTCGAAACGAGTAGAAAAAAAATCTTTGTTTAGTTGATTTTACCGACAACATTTTTTCAATTTATTGTATTTCTGGATAAAAATCGAGCTAAATTGCTTGAAATTGGCTTAAAAAGTTGTTTATTTCTCAGTTCTACAACATTTTAGCACTTTCTGGGGTGTTTGAGTTTGTCTAGAAAAATTGAGTTGTCAATATGCTTTTTTATGCTCTGTCTTATGATTTGCTCTTATGCTCTTTGTCGCTCTTATGCTTTAGCTCTCATATATGCTCATTTTAATTTTTGCGCTCTCTTTTTTGCTCTTATGCTGCTTATTATGTTTTAAATTTCGCGCTCTTATGCGCCTACTATCTTTTAACACTTATTTGAATTAGTATTTGAATTTGAATTAGAAAAAAATTGTTGCTTTGCCTGGGGCTCAAACTACGGAGAACTAGGTATCCGTAGTTCGAATCCCGGACCTACCTGCCGGACCTTATGCCGCTAAGCCACCACGACGCCGACAGTCTCCTGATTAAAGATTTTCAAAAATTTATTTTTTGCAGTTCTCCAAAATTTCAACACTTTTCTGAGGTTTCTGATAAAAACTTCTCGTTTAAATAAATTTATACTTTTTTTATTTCGCTCTTTCTCTTTCTTATGCTTTGCTCTAATCTGCCCTTATACGTTCTTTCTCCTATTGTTTCGGCAATATTTTCAACAAAATCTTTTAGATTTAATAACTTTTGTGTCACAAATATGTGTTATTATAAACTAAAACAACTATTTTTACGCTAGAAACATGAAAATCTTCCGATTTTGATGAGTTTCTAGCTCATAAAAGAGTTTAAACGCTCATGTTTCGTCCTAAATTTAGCTTTTCTGGTTCAAAAACAAGTTAAATTATTCGGAATTGGCCGAAACAGTGTTATTCTATTAAAATTGCCAATTTTCGTATTTGTTTTAGCAAAATTCTCAACGAAATATCTTAAATTTAATGAGTTTATATCTTCAAAACGAAATAAATTACTCAAAAATGGCTGAAATGTTAGTTTGTGTTAAACGGTTTTCGTACTGGTCTCAACAGAATCTTTTAGAATTTAATTTAACACCGATTTGTTTTGAATGTACCTAATGAGTGTGTCTCAAAAACGAGTTAAATCTCAATTAATTGACTAAAATAGAATTATTATGTGCTACGAACTCTGTTTAGTCAAAATTCCCGACAATTTTTTTTTGAATTTAATAAATTCGTATTCCAAAATAAGTTAACTCGCTTAGAAGAGGATGAAATAACGTTATTCTGAATGAGAAAGACAATTTAGAAATCTTAAACATTTAGTAAGTTTTTACTTGTTTTAGTAAAATCTCTTGAACTTAATGAATTTCTGGCCCAAAAAAGCCATGTTAAGTGTGCAAACGCAATTTAAACATAATATTTATTTTTACAACAACCCAAGAAATAATCGAGAGAAGCTGTAAACCTCATTGCAAAGTAGGTTTTCCTTATTTGCAAGTAACGCGCATTAAAATATCGTTAGAAATTTAAAACAAGCAAAAACTTGTACAATAATAAAACCGTTTACAACGATTTTAAAAATTCCAGTTAAAGCAGCAACAAAATTCAAGTTTTTTTAAACCAGGTTACTCCATCCTCCACTCCCTGTGACCCGAAATTCAAATCTCGTGTGTCACAGCCCAGCAAAATAACAATAACCGATCTCATTTTCCCGCCAACACCGGTACCTCACCCGAAGGTCAGTCTTCTCGGCAACGGTTATTACGTGGTACCTGCTCCGTCCCACCGCTGGGTACCAATCTCAGTCGAGTTCAGCCGAAGCAAGGTACCACTCGGTCGGTGCCAACAAAAGTGTAAACAAACATGTCATCGCCCATTCAGTCGTCCACCCTCGACGGCCTCCCCAAGCAGTTCGTCACAGCCATGCGCACCCTCTTCGACATCATGGACGACAAGAGGACAGGTCTGGTCAACTTCGCCGACATCGAGAACAGATGGCAAGACGACGGCTCCAAAGGCTTGCCCAAGGGCGTCCTCGAGAGTCTGCGCAAGGTGACACCCCCCAATGGGATGCTCACCTTCGAGAGGTTCTGCGCGGGGTTGAAAATCTGCCTCTTGAGGAACCAAGTCGAGAGGAGGAGCGACAAAAGAGACGGCGGCGTCGCGACGACTAATCGCCCCCCTTCAGCACCACTACTGGACATTCAAGGTATTTAAATTTTCACCAAACGCTAAAATTACTTGATCTGTAAAAAATAGAACCCCCGAAACAAAACTGGAACACAGCCACCATCAGGCCCAACAACGTTATGTCGCAACAAAGAACGATAAGTATGCCCCAACTCCTCCCGAAGGACCCCCAAGGGGAGAAACCCGTCCCGAATGTCAATAAGCCCCTCTATGGCCCCCCGAAACCCCCCAGGAGTGCCATAGGGATCGGGAATATGGACCGGGCCGAAATCCGAACAGCGCTTCAAAACTGGCAAATGGGCTTGATGATGAACGATCAAGAGAACAAAAACGAGAAAAGGCCCCAATTTGGGGGGCTTCTCCGGACTGGGAGGAGTCTAGGTGATGGCAAAGCCGCCCAAAATGATATTCCACTCGCCCCCGGGATGTACCAGAAGAAAGCCAACGTCAGAAGAAGAGAACCAAGACGACACACTTTACAAAACGGAATCGACTATAATATGTTGAAGCGGATGAAGCAAATTGAACAAGAAAAAGACGTTTTGATGCAAGGGTTGAATGCAGTGGAGAAGGCGCGAGAGTGGTACTTGAAGCAAGTCGCTGCGGTGCAAGAAAAAATGAAGTATTTAGGACGTATGGGTCACGTGGTGAGTTTATCTTGTAACACAAGGAGATACAACTCCGATGTGAACTTTTTAACACTACTAACCTAGTTCAACACGAGATTCTCACCATTATTAATACCATGACGTTTCCGCATGCATAAATTACGAATTACGTCGATTATACAGAGTGTGTCAGAATTCCCAGAGAAAAATTTCGAGTAAGATAAGATACCAGAAACATGAAAAAAAATTTTTTTAAATTCTATCTTAAAATTTTTTTGACATTTGACATTTTTATGTTTATTTAATGATACGAATAATCTTGTATATGTTTTTTTATAATTATTTAGTAAAGGTACAAAAAATTTGCCAATAAAAGCCACAAATAACTTAAACATAGTTACAATTTAGAATACAGCTTCCTTGCTTCCTCTTCTAATAGCCTGTAGCAAAATCTTGGAAAATTATTCTTCCAACAGAAATAAATAGAGTGCAAAATTTAAACGAATTTTTTTAACATTTTTTCCATGTTTCCCGTATCGTACTTTACATGGCATTTTCTCTGGGGTGCGAGTTCTGGCGCACCTGTATAGACACAATTTTACTCGGTTATGAAAAAAACTAATTTTAGAGAAAAAAACAGCTTCTTTGTCGTTTTTAATGCCGGATGTGTGTCGTATTGAGAAAAACCGATAGACGGGAACTCGTCGTCATACTCTGCTAAGCATTTTCATTTAACTTCTGTTTTGTTTGTTTTTTTACTTGTGACATGTTGACGGTCAATTTTAAGGTACGAAATTATAAATAATTAGAATGTTTGACCTTCTTGGCCAATGACATTTAACTCGAGTCAATATTACGTTTGGTTTTCTAAATTTACATTCACTTTAATTTTTTGCAATAAATGCTTGCAGTGTTTTCACTTACTTGTTGCTTGCTTTCCATTCAATTGAAAAAGAACAATAAATACATTGGATGTAAGAAAAATTGCGCAAGATCATAAGATCATTCGCAGATTTAGACTGTCTGCATAATTATGTGAAAATTAATGATGAGTAGTTTGTTCGCAAATAATAAAAGATTACACTATGAGAAATTTAATTATAATCTTATGGGAAAAAGAGTGATTTTGTTACAATATTCTTATAAAACAGTTATAAAGTTCTGCTCTGGAGTTTTTTTTTTCAATAATTCAGAGAATTGTATCGTAATCTTATTACATTCTCAATTCTGAAAAATTAATTATTTGCAAATACAGCGTGCGCCAGAACTCGCGCATCAGAGAAAAATTTCATGTAAGATAAGATACCAGGAAGATGGAAAAAATGCTTAAAAAATTCTATCTGTTAAAAAATTTTGACATATATTTTTTTACAATTATTTAGAAAAGATACAAAAACTTTGTCAAGAAAAGCCCCAAATAACATTGACTAGAGTTACAATTTAGGATAAAGCTTCCTTGTTTCCTCTTATAATAGCCTATAGCAAAAAAAAATGGAAAATAAGTTTTCTAACAGAAATAAAGTCAAAGTGCAATATTTTAACTCTCATAACTTCGAAATTTTTATAGATATTTTTTTTTAACATTTCTTCCATGTTCCTGGCATCTTACTTTATACGGCATTTTTCTCTGGGGCGCAAGTTCTGGCGCACCTGTATATTATATTATACATACTTGTACGTAAATTTAAAGAAAAATTTCTATATTCCAATATTAGATTGGCTTCATAATTGATTCGTCACCTTCTGAATCTTCTTCTGAGTAAGAGAGACGGTCAAGAAGAAAAGAATTTTTTGCAGCTTGTAAAATGTACAATATTTTTTCTCATTTTTAAAACGAGAATTAAGCAAATTAAATCAGTTAAAACTTGTTAGATAATTTAAAGAAAAATTTTCAGTTTATAAGATACAGCCTACAGCATTATTTTCATCAATGCTTTTCTTATTATTACACAATTTTAATAAAAAATCTTTTTTTTTCTTCCAACTATCACTCTTCTTTTGAGATTATGGAACAATTTATTTTTTTTACACTTTTTTTATACTAACTTGATTTAACTAACGTCAGTATATGAATTATTTTTTATTCACATTTCTAACCTCGATACTTTCCACCTCGATATGTAATGTGATATTTATTTAAAAAATAAACACAATTTTTTGTCAAAACTACCTGACAGTTTCGACACGGTCGATATTAAAATATTCAATTAAAAGAGTCCCAAAATTCATACTCAATGAAACAATGGGTATTGTATTTGATGGTCTATTAAAAAACATAAATTATATCACTTGTTAAAAGACTTATTTGTATGAAACACCTTCAGTTTTTAATTTTACAAATATTATAAAAGCTCGTACAATAATAAATAAAAACGAAATCCCCGTGGTTTTTTAAATTCGATAAGAAAATCGACATGAAGGTAACAAATTTGAATATTAAAAAATGATAAGATTTTAACATTTTTACAATGATTATAGATAATTATTACATGTAACACGTTTTTGGTTTAAATTTTGGCCCAAAAATGCATGTTTTTGTATTAACATGTGATTTACACAATGTAATAAATTAATTGATAGCCTGAAGAAGAAATAACGAGGCTGAAACGTCAGCAAAATAGATATTTGTGTATCAAGTACGCAAAATAGGGTTTTAATGAGAGGAGTCACCTAAAACCTTTTGCGTATGTGGTGCATACAAGATTTTTTTGTTAAAGCTCCCAAAACACGAATTCACACCTCTTATTAATAAAAAAAAACTTCGCCACCATAGTAACCCATTTAATTATTTAGTCCGCAAAAACTGTTTATAACCATTTTGCGTACTATTTTCTTGAGTCCGGAAAAGACTCGAATGAGTCCGCAAAATAGCTATTTTTGGGAGCGTATACAAAAAAAAAATAATTTTGTCAGTTTATTTAGCATTCATTAAAATCAAGTTGAAAATGTAGAGAACGAAAATGAAAATTGACAAGTCTCCACATTTGCCAATGTCACCAACTTAACATCAAAATCACAGACCACTTTATTAGAAATTAAATTAAAAATAAAACATAATAAAATATTTTCAGTATTTCTTTTACTGTTTTTTAAACCAAAAAATTGTTACTTGTTTGACTCTTCCAAATAAAAAATGTCTTTTTTTAGTAGATAGTGTTAATAAGACTTAGAAGCACTTTAATGTATTTTTTTTTTCAAAATTTTGCAATAATTTTAGTCTTTTCCCCTGTTTGGCATATTTTAGGGCAATTACTTAGTTTAAATTAATCGCACGTTTCACGATTAGGTCTTAGACATAGCGAGATAGGTCGGAACAAATATTGCTGAATTCAAGTAATTACAATATTTTCTTCAACAACAAAAACAAGCACTTGACTAAGAACTTAACGATAATTGTTTTCCGTCACGTAAAATTTCTCATCACTTGTAACGATTTTTCAGTTTTCTGAAAAACCTGTTGCGATAAATGAGTATCTTGAATGAGGCCATTGCATTCAAGACCGACTACAATAGGATATTAAACCTTTGTGTCCGATCGTCATTTCTCTAGCAATTACTTTTATGACTCCCAACTGTAAAAATAACGGTCACTTTTGAATTTATCTTTCAGGAACCGTGGTCGGAAGCCCAGCAGGAGAAACTCGAACTTCAAAGAGCTCGAGTTTTTGAAGTTAATCGACATTTGGCCGCCCTCACCGACAGCTGGGAACGTGGAGGTCTTCCTCTGCACATGAACTTGGCGGTTCATCACTACCCTCAAAACCTAGATCTCAATGACCGGCTCAAGCAGCAAAATCGCCTCCTAACCGAAGTAAAAAAACCGATCAAAGTAGCCTGTGACTTTGAAATTAAGTTGGCAACATTGACTGTCAAATTCAAACGTCACCTATTGCCAACTTAAAGTCTCAGGCCACTTGGATCAGATATTTAATTAAACACTTTTTTGTTACAGGAAGTGAGTAAAAAAAGCGAGAGGATATCGCTGTTGGAGAGGGAAAAGGCAAATCTGATCCAAATGCTTCAAATGAGGTCAGCGCCGAATAGGAATGGACAAGAAGAGGCGGTTTTTTGAATAATTAAATCACTTTTACGAAAACACATTTATTAACAGTCATTGAAACAATTGTGATTTTTTTGTGAAAATATAAAACATAACGGTGTTACCTACGTGTTATACATAGATATGTTTCTTAGATAACTTGTACCAGGAAGTGCCATTAACATACAATTTGTTCGTAATTAAGTTAAGGTTGGTACAATTTATTCAACTGCCAAATTATGGGTGATTTTGTGCAAATTTTTAAATTGGTGCTAGCCATTTTCCATATTGGGTGACCCCAAAGTGTCAAACTACTCGATTCAGTGCCAAAATACAAAACTGACAAATTTTATATTTCTTGACACACTTTTGGGACACCTGTATCTACACATTTTACTAATAAAGTATATCGTTTTTTCCATGTTTGTTTCATTTGGCCATCAATATAGGAGAGGCCAGGGCATAGTAAGTGTTTACAAAATTAAGTTGGCAACATTGTGAAAGATACAGACGGAAGATAAAAAAAAACAAGTCTCATGTTGCCAACTTATAATTTCAAAATCACAGACCACTTTGATCAGAAATTTGGCTGATGATTAAAATCCAAAGTTTTTTTAAATATTTGTTGCATCTATACAAAATCTTATAGATTTTTTACCCTGTGTCCCTTCTTACCCCAGTTTCCCCTACACAGTATATCACAATAGGGCAAAAATGAGTACTTTTTGTTGCTTAAGTCTGGTTATTTAGCTTTGGGTGTTTGTTTTGCGTCCCAGTTGACTCCATCATGGGGCAACTTACTTTCAATAAAAGGTGACAACCACACGAGACACCACCTGTCCCCTAAAGCCCCCTCCACATTTTTTCTCCTCCCGAGATCATACAGCCCCATCTTTTGATTCCTTTCGTGTGTAACAACCCCCCTTAAAATTAAATCGCCGTGAAAATACAACAAAACCCCCGTAAAAACGCCCCCAATTAAGACAATCAAAACTAAGAATAAATACATTTGATTTCGTGAATAGTCAACGAATAGCGTTGCAAGTGGAAAAACCAACTTAATTATCGATTCAAACGTTCCAAATTCGGCAAATTCGAGTACGAAAAATAAATTATAGTAAGAAGCGTAGACAGTGGCTACGAAAATGTAAAAAACGAATACGATAAAATAGCGTAAATTGTGGTGTCCTATGCAACAACTTGTAAACATGCAATGATGGTCGCGTTTGAGGATACACACGTTGCAAGTGTGGCAATGCCACGACCTGGGGGGCGCTATGCATTCACAAACGGTACAGAACCGACAGTTTGGCCCCATTGTTGTGGGGAGGATCCTCCCCCGAATACTGGTATCACACAACACAATCGCCACGTAATTCGCACACAAATTGAATAAAATAAACGTCCCACTTAAAAAATGGAAAGTGTACCAAAAGTCCCATTGAGGGTAGAAATGGGGCAACACCACGAATAACTCAAAGTAATACACAGTGGGGATTATACACAGGGTAAACACAGTCACTAAAGTGTCCGAAAGGCTGCGAGGGAGCACGTTTTTGCGTAATAACATTTTGAGGGGGCTATTTTCAGGTTATGTTTGTTTTGATTGTTTTTCTGACCGAAACTTGAAACGGCTGATTGTGCATAACGCCGATGTGTTATTATCACGAGAAAAAAATATTTACTGACAATATACTATATACACTTTCTCAATAACATCCATTTTGAGTCAAAATTTGTAAGAACATGGGGCTGCGCCTTTTTGGGGGGCTTTACACTTTTACAGGTTCCTTTTTCGTCAGCTGTTTTCAAGGTTGGCATTCTTGTATTGCGCTTCCATCTTTATCTCACCCACTAGATCCTTCAGTCTGTCAGTGTTCGTGGAAATTGGTGGTTGTTTTTCTCGTGAGTGCCCCAATATGTGTTAAAATTCGTGCAATGCCCCCAAAAATCTCCAGTTTTGTTCCACCCACCATGGATAATTAATAGTGACCACCAGCATGGGTTCCAGGATACGGTAAGTGCGCCCTTAACCAGTCAGGGTGTTACCCCACGACCCCCTTTCCAGCGAGAACGTCAAACACTTTTTCGAATGCTTCTGCGAGGTGGTGCCCCCCACGGGGGACAAAGCGGCCTGGATCATTCAACAGTACCCCGACAAATACAAGGACGAGGAAGTGCTCAAAGCTGTACCAAATTTTGCATATCCTTACAAATTCGAAAAGTGGGTATTTTTTCGAATTTGAGATTTGTTGTTTTAAACGCGGTTTTCAGTACTGTTATTCAGCATTATTCCTTCGTCCTGACGGATTTGGAGTCGAAATGGACGTTCGGTTTCTGCAGACACGACCCGAGATCAGAGACCGCGATTGTGGTCCTGAGTTATCTTCCGTGGCATCAAGCGTTTTATAAGTATGTTTTTTTAAAGAAATGAAGAGATAATCAGGAAATTGAATGCTTTACTATTCGTTTTATTGTACATTTTCATATTAGAATTGTTCCAGACAACATCTGGCGCAAATGCGGTTGCTTTTGCTTTTATTTGATCTGAGATAAAAAAAAACAAAACTGGGAAATTACGCATGACGCTCACTTTATATGCTGATTATTCTATAATTAAATCGTATTATTGCGGATTAAATGGCACAGATTCAGCTATAAACGCCCTTTCATAAATGTGCAAACTGTGCTTTCAGTGTTTGTTTATAAGATTCAATTTATGAGAAGCGATGAAAATTACATTTTGCACTTATTTTCTGATGGTTTACTGTGTTTTGTGTTTTCTGCAAATAAAATGATTGAAAAATTAAACATACAGGGTGTCCCAAGTTTTAGGTCTGGCGTAAAAATAAATATCTCTAAAAAAAGAATTTTGACAGTATAAATGATAAAGGATTAAATACACTTTAATTTGATGTTTTTTTATTGTATGAAATTTTTAGCATATGACAGTGAGACCTTAAAAATTTAAAAAACTGGAATATTTTCTATAATCTATATGATAAAATTCTTTGATTTTTTTCTGTGATTTGTGGAAATAGAATTATGATAAAGTTGAGAGGTTTTGAATCATTAACATTTTAATGTTGAAAATCTGAAACTTGTAAGAATTTATGGGGGGGTTTGCGACCAGAATTTCTTGACAAAAGAAAATGTCCGCAATGACATTTATAACGTACTCGGGCTCTGTTATGAAGCCTCCGCTCTAATGTCAATGCATTAGCAGCATATTATCTCAAACTTGACCATAAATTACCAGAATTCCCAATTTTCAATAATAAAATGCTAATTACTCAAAATCAATAAACTTTTATATTATTCAATTTTCACAGTTACCATTAGAAAAAATCAAGGAATTTTATCATGAAGAAAATTAACAATTTTTTTTTCCAAGTTTGGTTTTTAGGGTGTCACTGATACGATAAAAATTTTGAACAATAGTAAAGCATCAAACTGAAGTCTATATAATCCTCTATCGTTTACACTAGCAAAAGTTTTTTTTATTAGATAGAAATATTTATTTCTGCATCTGGTCTAAAACCTGGGACACCCTGTACAACTAGTCTGAGTGAACAAAAACGATGTATTTTTTATTGTTGCAAATGTGTTGTTAATAAATGAAATCCAACAATTAAATAACATTTCAAGCAATAACTTACCTGTTGTCAGGTTTAAGAAAACGAAGGGGTAAAAGTCACAATAATTTATTCGAACAATTTAATTAATACAAGAGCTCGGCTAAGACTGACTCGTTATGGTATTAATTTCCTGAAAAACGACAGGATCTACAAAAACCATTCCGTTCTAGAAGGCCTTTGTTCGGGGCTGCGTAATCCCGCCATTGGCAACGTCACAGAAGTAATTCGAATATTACCCAAACCCAACCAGTTTTTTTTCACCATTTTTTGTGCCCTTTACACGATTTTATTTTAAAATTAAGAGAATTGAAGACAGGCTTTATTTCATCAGGATAATCATTGTTCCAAAATAGAGTACCCACTGAAAAAATGAGCACTAATGATTCAACTAGTATTTACGTAAATAATAATAATTCATATGCGTAGTTTTGTAAATCTATCCCACAAAAACAGCAAGATTCGTCATGTAACTATGATGCATGGCGATAAATTTTGTTTTGAAATTTCGCCCAACAAAAATTTTACTTAGATTTTATATTAGAAAGTAATGCATTTAAAATTATAATGAATATGGTAAAACTATAAAAACTATTTAAGTCAAGTCAAGAATCATTTAAATATTAATTCAACCTGCACCAAAGATCATGTTCATAATAAATAATTTTGTAATTATTCATATGTAATTTAATTTTTTTCTTTTTTATTTGGGATTAAAAACATTTTAAAATATTTTTTCGAAATATTCTCATACACAACTTTTATTTACCCAAATTTTTTTGAATCATGAAAAAAAAAATTAAAAATGTATTCCTTGCATTAAATCATCATTTTTTTTTTAATTTTAATAATATTTTTTTATTAGAAATCTACAAGGTGATTATGTACAGGTATCCCAAAAGCAAACCCCCATAAGTCAACCAGCGTCAGAAAATGTCATTCTCAAAAAAAAAGTTTAAATACATATTTTTATTATTTTTTGCTTAGCTGTAATGAATGAAGATAGAAAAAAAAATGTGTTTAAACTTTTTTCCTCAGAATGACATTTTCTATCACTGATGGACGTATGGCGAGTTACTGGAAAATCATTTTTGTACAGAATAAAACATTAAAAATTTATTGTTATTGGCATATTTTGATTGTAGATTTCTAGTTTGTCACGTTTCCACTTTAAAAACTTTACTATGATGTAATTAAAATGTTTTTTTCATTAATTTTTACAAAGAATGTGATGCAATACAATGTGAATGAATTTTATTGATTATTCAATTGCAGTAATAGTTGAAGTTGAGAGTGGCTGGCTATCTGCAGTATCTGGTTTTGCCATAGATTACGATAACAGCAGGGGGCATATAGTATGATTCATTTTTACCAGATTTATTATCACTTCAGTCGCCTGTCTGTGGATTCCACATTTTTGTATTTTAGTTATCAATTCATCTTCTATGGATTTGTTTCAGTGGAGATAAGTTCACTGACGTTTAATGAATGCATTTTGGCGACAAGTTTAAAACAATTCAACGATCGCAGCCGTTATACGATTTCTAATTTGGAAACTCGAAGATTGTTCGACGGTAGCAATTTGCTTTTTATTTGCTTTAGCTCTCGCGTTCTATCATTTAAATTCATTCTCGACGAGATTGTGAATTAAACTGTGTTTACAAGAGACAAAAAATATTGGGGGGGCTTACTAACTAAAATTAAATTCTGGTGAAATTATCCAAAAAAACAAAACGCATTTTTTTCTTTTGTCATTAAATATTTACGAGTTCCATTAATTCTTTTGCATAATAGATGTTGTTTCCTTTTTTGTTTTTTATTGTTGTTTTAATTTTTTGTTAATTTGTTTATTTCGGTTAATTATTATAGTCAAAGATAATGTTGCTAAATATGGTGCATAAGTACACTAAGGTCGTAAATGTAATATTGTCGCGTGGCAACCAACATATACATTTACGTAATCTAGGGGGAATTACCCATAATTAAACGTCTTGTTACTAGACCGAACTTGATACGGTTTCATAAATATAAATGTTATAATATATAAATATAATTACACAGTAATTGAGGAGCAGACTTTTAAAATGCAGTTTGTCCATGTTTTTGTGAATTGAGATAAAGCTGTATAATTAGTGTCCAATTTGTACATATTTTTTCACATTTATTGTCACTGATATAAAAAATTAAAATTATTTCTTAAAAAAAGGACAGTTTTTGTTCTCTCCTGCAAAAATGCAAACTTGGACAAACTGCTTTTTGAAAATCTGTTGTGAACATCACACGACTTTCCTTATCCCACTTATCTGGAAAACATCTTTACGACAATAATTTATTGTTGGAAATCCGAGTAGCAAACCTAACGTTTGCGACCCAATGGCCCAAACCAATTTCTTTGGTGTCTTGAAGCTATAATTCGTCCAGAAATCTGGGTAGGTCAAATTTTAGCCGATTTCAATACTTTCCTTATAGGATAAGGAAAGTAAAAATAAATCAGGAGTTGAATAAACACAGATTGTATCAATATTTGTCTTTTGATTTGTTTTTTTTTTCAGTAGACAATTATCTGCCAGTAATTAAATTTTGTCAAGTCATTGGCAATGTTATTGGGTAAGCAGATAATGTTCCTGGTTTTTATTAACATTTCCCGAAGAATGGCAATGACCAACGTTCATTATGCAAATTGTTATTATGGATCACGAACTCAATTATGTGTTATTTAACAATTATCATATTTCTTATCGCAGGCCTAGGTAGGGAGTCGATAAATTCCCATGCATCATGTCGTGTGATATTCTTATCAAGGCCATTAAAAACTCATCTACGGAAATTCTCTCATAATTAAATTATTGTAAAACTTTTCTTTCGTGGTACCAAATTGGGACGATCATACCGTTTTGAATTATTATTACAATTTAAATTTACATTTGGTATGCAAACGTTATTATTATTGTACACCTGTCACACAGTCACTCTGTTAAGATTAATTGAACAGTGTAATGGTTATAATTTCTGCAAAGCACATTTGCCTCCGGAAGTTCTCGTTTTGCATGTTGCGACGTTGAAACGTCGAATTTTTAGTTTATTTCTACTGCAACTTTAGTCGAATTAATTTAGAAATGGGTGAAAGTTTGGAAAAAGTTATTTGATTTGAAATTTGTTGCTATAAATAGTGTTAATATTATGATGTATGAATTTTGTGTAATGGCTGTGCAAAATAAAATTTAAAATTAAAAAAAGAATATTCCGGTAGCCTGTCAAAAGCTTGAACTGCTGTCAACAAGAGGGCAGTTTTAAAATACAGAGTTTGTCAGAATGTTACTGACAAACTTTCAAGCCTGATTCTATAATCAAAAATACGTACAGTTTGCCTTCAACAAAAGAATTTCTGTGAAACTTATTGACGAAACGTACATACAAAGATGTAAAATAAAAAATACAAAAATCCTACATAATTTTCACTTTACTGTTTTACTAGTTAATAAAGTAAATCTACATAAAGTTTAATTAACAATTTCATAAAAGACCATACTGTGCCACCCCAAAATTGCGATATATAGACCATTCAGTGTTGCCAACCGCAGACTTTTTTTTATTTTGTAAATTGCGGCAAAACTGTACAGTTGGAGACAAATTCTTTTGCTCTTCAATGTCACTTGAGTGACATTAAATTGTAAGACATGCTTTAGGACTGTTAGCTTTATTTTTAGCTACTGTCAATCATAGTTGACAAGTTGTATGTAGATATTTTTGATAAGAAAATATAATAGCTGTTATTAATTTGAAATTGTCATTCATTTTAACGTTAAAGCTTGAATTACATTATAGTGTCAGAAAAGTGACCACCAAAGTATTTTGTCTCCTACTGTACCTCAAAAGTTATAATGTTTTGAGGCATATGTCGTAAATTCTGTCGTTTTATAAAACGCCTAGTCATTTTGAAAACGACTGGGCAAATAAATAAATGAATGAATGAATAAATGCAGGGTTTTTACAATATGACGGAAAATTTTAGGCGTATTATAAAAAGCCTAATAAGTTTTCGTCTTACTGTAAAATGTTTATTATTAATTAGGAAAAATAAAGTCAAATGTTAAACGTTTTTAATGAATATAAAAAAGAAACATATTTCAAGAAAACAAATAAATTTTCTTAACAGTTTCATCGTACAGTTGCGGAATTAACATTTGGGGCAGTATTGTCATTTTCATACAGTAAGCTGTAAAACAACCTTTACATTAATAACCTCATTTTTTACTCTTGTCATGTTTATGTCATTTTGACTTATTTACTTTCAAAAATATTGATTTGTGGCATAATAAGGGTAGGCAGCAGATCAAAGCGACGATTTAATTACACTTAGTTGAATTCATAAATTTCTTAAGACAGACAAATTATTTAATTAACAATTTTACCAACAAAAAAAGTTTAATTGTCAAATGTCAGTCATGATGACAGTGAGAGGTAGTTTACACTGAACTTTTTAAAATTAATCTGTGACGCAGATTTGTTTCAGTCGTATTATAAATTAACCATACATACTTTGTAATAAGATGAAAACTTATTAGGCTTTTTATAATACGCCTAAAATTTTCCGTCAATTGGAAAAACCCCGCATTTATTCATTTATTTACAATTTGCCCAGTCGTTTTCAAAATGACTAGGCGTTTTACAAAACGACTGAATTTACAATTAGCCTACGACACATAACATGTAAAATGTTCCGAAAAAAACTGCAAAATTCGTAATAATAATTTAGAAGTTATAGTCGAACTATGTATCGTAAAACACAGATTTTTTTGCAGATGATAGAAAATTAAATTTTCTTTCCAACGGTACCAAACATAAGAGGTTATCACTACTTATCACTAATGATTCCGACGTTATTGACAATAGACCGCTTTGGGTGCCAAAAATCGACCAAAATCTCGTCAAAAATTTAAAAAAATCTTTAAAAATTTAAATCATTTTTATCAGATGTATTTTGTGTGAAATGTAGCTTTTTCCTATTTTTTTGCTCGAAATATCTAGTTATAGAACAGATTTTTTTGCGACTGATTTCCCCAGATAAAAATTCTAAATTTTAATATTTTACAAAATAAACTATGAAAAAAGCTCTATTTAGGTGTAAAAAAAAATTCGGGATTCTATTTCCTCCACAATGGGCGTTAAATGTGTTAATAAAAACTTTTCAAACAATTTTTTACAAAATCTTAGAGCTTGCTAGCTAATTGGAAACAAATTGCGCTAAGTTCACACCCATCTAATAAAACAATTTAGTGCCACTTTCAACTTAGAATAGAATTTTTTCTCTTGGCAAAGCGTGTCAACCAGACAACTTTGTTACCAAGTATAACAATTATCGTTGTTTACACATCCACATTCGCTCGACGGGCACGTTTCCATGCATAACTCACATTATTTTAAATAAATTAAAAAACTACAGAGTCAAAAACCCTGATTATCTCTCGTAAGTCTTTCAAACAAAAAGCAAAGCAAAACAACACAAAAGCTCTTTCTGACAGGTTTCTAGATAACATAGCAGTATTAATGACCAGTCCACGATCGGAAGACTTGAGCGAATTCTTGTCAGCCGTATACAACACGAAATTAGCGGAAGCGGGTAAATATTTCACTGTTCCTTTCAACCGAGGAGAGAGTGTAAGTTGAGGAACATTTACAGCTGCATGTGAATGTTAAAACGTCTTATCTTTTCTCAGACCTTCGCCGTTGAGGTTCCAAAACCGTTCCAGTTACCGAGCATACCGGAAAACGTAAGTACATGAATTATTCTATTCCGGGTCCGGTACAGAAACGTGATCCACAAATCAGGGATTAGGTTTTAAAGTTTCAAACGTGCGATTGAATTAACAGTTTTCCTAGTGAATTAAAAATACAGGGTGTCGCAGCGAGTTGAAAAAGTCTATTAGTGACCTTTAAATGGTAGATAAAATTAAAAAATATATACAGGCTGTATTATGAAAAACGCCCCAAGCCATTACTCCATTATTTTTAAAGTTATGACAATACTTCTTAGAACAAAGTTGAACATTTTTTGTCATTTATCGTTTAGGATAGTTGCTAAATTAATGCTGTTTTCTGTTTCACCGGAAATCACATCAACTTAATTTTGGTAAATGGACACCCTGTATATTTTACCACTTTTGGATTCATTGTTTAATTGTCTTTTAACAAGTTTTAGTACCATATGCCTAAAACTAACCGTTCGTGAGATATTCACCAAATAATGTATTTATTAAAGTAGGCAGTGGAAAACAATAATATCAAATAATGTTGACAAATATTATTCCTTTGCATTTTCTCTTACTGTTTTTATACTTCTAAATGTTAATCATGGATGATAATGTGTTAACAGACATATTTTGAATAAAATAAAAATTGTGGGAGGGCATTACGCTTTTACACTGGGTGATTTCTGATGAGAGACGTTCCAAATCGTCGAAAATTTAAGCGACTTAAAGAAAATTTGAGGATGTTTTGGGCTTTTATAAAACCCAAATTAAAACATCTCCAATTTCAAAGAGATACAGAATTAGATAGGTATTGAAGAAAATGCAAGAACATGAATTCAAGAAATTGCAAGTAACGTTAGCTTATCGCACGCAACTAAAAACCCCAAACATCCTCAAATTTTCTTCAGGTCGACGAATTGGAACTTTTCTTATTGGAAACCGCCCAGTGTAAAGGCGTTGTGGTCTCAACTATTTTTATTGCTTTCAAAATATTCTTGAATCATGTCTGTTAACACATTATCACCAGATCACCAAAAAGTATAAAAATAATAAGAGAAAATGCAAAGTAATAATATTTGTCAACATTACTTAATATTATTGTTTTCCACTGTCTACTTTAATAAATTTTTAATTGACTCATATCTCACGAACGGTTGGTTTTAGGCACATGGTACTAAAACTTGTTAAAAGAATCCAAAAGTGGTAAAATATACAGGGTGTTCCATTAAAAAAATAAAGTTGATGTCATTTCCGGTGAAACAGAAAACAGCATTAATTTAGCATCTATCCCAAACGATAGATGACAAAAAATGTTCAACTTTGTTCTAAGAAGTATTGTCATAACTTTAAAAATAATGGAGTTATTGCTTGGGGTGTTTTTCATAATACAGTCTGTATATAGGACATTAATAGATACTAATCTAGTGCATCACCTAAAATTATTTTCAACCATACAGCATGTCCCAAAAATAAGTTACGATACAAACTTGTGTTTTTTAAATGAAACACCGTATGTTTCTTGGCATTACTGTATGTAGCTTTTTAAAACAATGTTTTTACGCTAAACTTTTATTAGTCGATTTCGCTTAATTTTCGAAATAAGACGGTTTTTTTGACGAAAACATGCATTTTTAATACTAAGACAGCTAGAACAAATTTTTTCTTAGTTTTACAAAGAAGAAAGTACAGAAAATAAAGCTGTAGCAATTTTTTAGTGTTTTGTATTTGTAAAGATTAATAAATTAAGAAGTGTGCTAAAAGTTAAATGACTTAAAAAAATTAAATGGAACACCCTATTTTTTATATTTCATCTAATAGATTGATAAATTTTCGATCTAAAAAAAAATAATTTTTACTGTCTAGAATTGATAAATGAAAAGATATTTAACATTCAGTATTAATTGTAGCAACAATGTCTGTCAATATCTGAGCATTGTTGATACTATGGCACTCATAATAATTCTACTACAGATCACTTATCCGTTGATTTACCAGAGATTGTAAAAGTCGTTAAAAATACTGAAATTTGAATTATTTTATTGTAAAAATAAAGAATAATGGATTCCGTTTAACACAAATGTGATTATTAAGTGATATTTCTTCCATCTCTTGTGCAACTGTGCACTTTTTAGCTACTGAAACAATAGTATTTTTTTGTAATGTTTAAGGTTAAATATCTTTTTAGTTATTCATTATAAACACCTAAAAGTAAATAATTTTAGAAAGACAATTTAATAATCTTTCAAATGCAAAAAACAATAAATAGGGTGTTCCATTTAAATTTTTTAAGTTATTGAACTTTTAACTAACGCCTTCAGTTTTTTGTCTTTGCAAGTGCAACACACTAAAAAAATGTTACAACCTTATAGCTTGTACCTTCTTTGCGGCAGTAAAAAAAATATTTCTAGATGTCTTAGTTTTTGTGTAATAAATTTTTTAAAAGTGCATGTTTTCGTCAAAATATGAACATAAACTCGATTACCCCGTCACACCAAACTTTTATTTAAAACACAACGCGTTTCAACCACAAAGTGGTCATCCTCAGGTGAGAATAAAATAACCGTCTTATTTTTAAACCTAAGCAAAATCGACCAATAAAAGTTTAGCTTACTGTTTAACCGATTAACCATTTAATTGGTTAATTAGTTAACCGTTTAACTAATTTAACCGAATAACTAGTTTATTGATTTAACCGATTAATTTGGATTAACTAATTGGCTGATGAACTAATTAACCTGGTTAAAATTTATGGCCGGTTTAAATAAGATAAGATACCAGGAACATGGAAAAAATGTTCAATAAATTCTATCTGTTAAAAAATGTTGACATTTATTTTTTGACATTTGACATTTTTTTATGTCTATTTAATTATACTGATGATCTTGTATATGTATGTTTTTTTTATAATTATTTAAATTATTTAGTCAAAGGTAAAAAAAAATTGCCCATAAAATCCACAAATAACATTAATTAAAGTTACAATTTAGGATACAGCTTTGTTCTTTCCTCTTCTAATAGCCTGTAGCACAAAAATTATCATTTTTGTCACTTATAATTACACGAGAGCTTTTTTTTCGAAATAAACTTGACATTTTAATGAGTATTTTGTTTTCTGGCAATTTAACGAAAAAAAACTTGGCAGTTTTTTGAGTTAAATTGCCTAAAGGTAACAAAACTCGAATTAAAAATGTCAAGTTTTCTTCGTAAAAAAAGCTTGAGTGTAATTCGGTAAGACAATTTAATGAATACGTAAATCACTAAATTAACAAATAAGGTGTAAATTAGTTTATTTAATTTAATGGAAAGTACAATTATTAAAAATGATGCAGACCTCCTAGAGTCAGACGGTTTCAAAAGATAGGTTGCGTTTTGTCGCTGCAATAGTTAGGACAAACTTTTGTCGCTGTCAAAAACACCGCAGCTTATGGGATTTTTAGTGTATGAAAAAGATTGTCACAGAAATAAATAGAGTTAAAGTGCAAAATTAAAACTTTCATAATTTGTAAATTGTTATAGATAGAATTTCTTTAGATTTTTTTCATGTTCCTGGTATCTTACCTTACATTTTTCTCTGGGACGCGAGTTCTAGGGAATCCTGTATAAAAATTTTACCAAGTGTATTAACCTTTACACATTTGTTGAAAACTGGAAAACTTCCACAACAGGAAGTCATCTACTGCTTTCCACACGATATCCCCATGTATATAATTAACACTTTTAAATTAATAAATAATAAGAGAAAAAATCGTCACTTTTCGTGACCAAATCGCTCCCGATCGCACTATAATTGATTAAAAACCGGGATCGGTTCGCGTGTTTACACGCCCGTCTGGTCATTGGTCTTTTTTTCATTTTTTTTCAGAGAAACCTCACGGAGTATTACAACGCCGTTGATTCTCACAATATGATGATAATCTTTGCTTCTATGTTGTATGAAAGGAGGATTATTTTCACGTCCAAAAAACTGAAAAGATTGAGTGCTTGTGTGCAATCGGCCAACGATGTGATTTATCCAATGATATGGCAGCACATCTTCATTCCAGTGCTTCCCATGGCACTGATAGATTATTTGCTAGCGCCGATGCCTTTCCTTATTGGTGTACCTGATGAAGTAATGAAGGTGAGTGAGTGAATAATCGATTTTGAAACATCCTTGAAATTAAATTCAAGTGTTCGATTTCTTTATCACAATAATAAAGCGAATAGAATGAGACATAATCAGTGAGTTGAAGGGATTTACGAGCGTAGGGAACGTAAAAGACAGTGTTGCCAGATTAAAAACATAATATTCACCTGATCCGAGTTGAAAAATTCTCCAAATTTTCACCAGATTAAAAATCCGCTTAAACTCTTGAAAAAAACAAAAATAACATGCATTTCGCCTTAATTCTGTGATTTTTCGGCTTATTTTTAACAAAATTTTGCGAAATTTTCTAGCATTTCTAGCTGAAAAACGTACTAAAATGCTTGAGAAATGCAAAAATAATCTAATTTTAGACTTAACTTCTTGATTTTTTAGTTTGTTTTAGCGAAATCTAGTGAAAAAACTGAGATTTTAGTACAAAAACGTACTTAACAGCATTTTCCGTCAAATTTTGTGATTTCTCAGCTTAAAATATCATTTCTGGCCATTGAATTTTTGGCTTGTTTTTAACAAAATTTTCAAAGCAATCTAATTAGTTGATTTTTTGGTTGTTTTAGAAAAATCTAGGAAAAAAAACCTGAGATTTTAGAACAATTTTTTTAACCAAATTTTGTGGTTTCTTGGCTTATTTTTTGTCTTCATTTTGAAAAAATTGAGTGAAACATAGAATATATGTGATTTTTAGGCGTGTTTGAACAACTTTTTTCATAATAAATGAGCCTCTGATTCAAAAACGAAGGAAATCGAGAAAAAATATATCAATTTCGAATCAATTTTGTATTTTTTAGCCTGTTTAAACAAAATTTTCGATTTTCTAAATTTTTATCTCAAAAACGTGCTTAAATATTCAAAAAATGCTAAAATAATACCATTTCTGACCATTTTGTTGAATTTTTGGCTTGCTTTTAACAAAACAAAAACAAAACAAAATAATTACGCTTTTAGCTGAAAAACGTGTTAAAGCGCTCGAGAAATTCAAAAATTATATGATTTTTGATTTAATTTGTTGATTTTTTGGTTCATTTTAGCAAAATCTTGCGAAAAACCTGAAATTTTTGCTCAAAAACAAGCATTCTCAACCTAATTTTGTGGTTTCTTGGCTTTTTGGTCTTAATTTTGCTCAAAAAACAGTTAAATCAAGAGAAACAAAAAAAAACAAAAATATGAATTATTTTTATGATTTTTAAGCGTGTTTGGACAAGATTTTGCAAGGTAAATGAGCCTTTGGTTTAAAAACGAAATAAATCGAGCGGAACAAGCTAAAAATAATATCCATTTTGATTTAATTTTGTAATTTTTTTTGCCTGCTTTAACAAAATTTTTAGGTTTTTTTGTGCTTAAAAAAGGCAAAAATAACGCCGTTTTGGTCGGTTTGGTTGAATTTTTGGATTGTTTTTATCGAAATTTTTCGAAATAAGCTGAAAAAGTATTCAAAAAAGACAAAAATAAATTGTCATTTTCGATCCTCTAGTTACTCTAGTAAAATCTTGTAAAAAAATAAACTATTTTTAACGAATTTTGTAGTTTTTCGTCTTTTTTTTTGAAAAAAATTGGCGAAATAATCAAGTTTCTGGTTGAAAACGTGGAAAATACTGAAAATAGAGTTCTTTTAATTTCCAAAAATAAACCAGATATTAAGTTTTTACCAAATCACCAGACTAACATGAAAATCACCAGATGTGGTGAAATTTTACCAAACTTGGCAACACTGATAAAAGATTTATGTTTCAGAAACTCGATATTTTACCTATGACGTATTTAGGTTTCTGAGAAAACAAATATTAATTATGTCGTCTTTTATTTTACCTGTAAATGTTTTTTTTTATGAAGGTTTTTGGATTGGAAATTGCTGTTGACAGCTGATTTATTAGCGACAAAAAATTATTTAAAAAATGTACCACAGGAAAGAGGAAATTGTTTTGTACAAAAGCTGTGAACATAAAGGATTTTTTTTTATTAACGTCATAAAATATAATTGAAATACGAATATCAAAAATAAAACTGTAGAAAATTGAATTTTCGCGATAGGTGAATTTATGGAAAAATGGAAAAAGAGGTTGGTTATATAATTTCATATTTTAACTCAAATATTTGTTTTCGTATAAAAGATAAATATAAAACTTGCTATCTGGATTGTTAATAACAATTCAATTCAAAGAGAATATAGCCTCAAGACGCGAAATTTGTAATTTTGAGTTCATAATAATAAATTATTAAGGTTTTCATTAATTTATTTAACATCTCGTTCATCTTCTTATTACATCCAGCCGTGGCTTTTACATTAAATTTCCTGTAAATCTGACATCCCTACTAACTTAAAAAAAATCAAACGAGAGAAAGTATCTCTGTGTTATGTAAATTTTGAGGTGATTCAGCGTCTCTGGATGTTGGTTGCAGTGATTCATCGACATAAACTCAAAAATAATTCCGACACAATAAATAATGCAGTTTAGATTCAATGGTATCGGAATTCCATCGGTTCCGGTCACATCCGGTCCCTTTTTTCGCTTTTATTATTACAAGGACGCGATTGAAATACAATAGAGACAGGTTTAATTGAGTCTTAAGCGTTTTAATTGTACAAATTAATTTACGGCTTGTTTTACAATATCGTGGCGTGTTATTTGCAGGATTTTAAAAAGGGTGTCTTTATTCATGCTTATGGTTAATGTTCTTTGAATAGTTATTTACAAAAGAGAGCGAGTCACAATACAATGGGTGGGTGGAAATTTTTTATTCATTTTGTGCTTTTCCATTGTTTCTTGTTGATTAAGACAAAAATGTGACTGTTTAGTAACAAATTGAAATGTCTTTGTAGATAAAATTAGCTTTCACAGAATTGATTAAGAACCAAATGTTCTCTAAAACTTCTCTTTGATTTTGTTCCGTGAAATCAATCGATTTGCCGACTAATTCCTTATTGAAACCCCACAAGTACAAGATTGCGTCTCGAGTTCAGTTAATACGATCCTCTACCAAAAATAACACTCCCATAACTCTACACTATATCTCTGGTTTCATTATGCAAATTTCCTGCTATCCAGAATGGCGTTATGTCTTTATTATGCCTAAACTAAAAGGGAATATATTTTTTGGTATCTACAGAAAGAATAATTTTATAATGAAACAAAAAAGAGCCCTGTTTTCGTATAATTATCCTTTTAAAATTTTTGCGTATTGATTTTTCTCAATTTTTTTACCTAAAAAATGACTTATTTAAAAAAAAGTGTAAAAGGCTCTTAAACATAATGAAAAATTTATAGTGTCAGATACTGTGTTTTTCATTAGTTTAACTTTTACAATTATTCATTTTTAAAATTAAAATAAAGTAATTTCAAGTAGTTTTCAGTACAAAAACAAATAGTTAATAATACTACAGATATAGTGTATACCAATGGGAGGTTTAATTTTAATTTTTCAAAAAAACTCATTTTTTTATTACAGATTATATTTTTATTTCAAAATAAAGTTCGAACATTGCCATCAATATCTGTCAAATGTTCGTCTCTGTTTCTTTGACAGGAAAGCATTCTTATACTTAAGTTTTGGACATTTTCACATAAAGAACAAAAGAGGTGTCGGCTTCATTGCCCTCCACGTTTTACTTTCGTACTTTAAAAAAAAGCCACAGGAATTATAAGTTAATTCTATTCCTCGGTTAAAGAAATTTCAAGTAATTTGGTTTCTAATGATAATTTTTTAAGGTGATTCAAAGTTATGTTGATGATGGCAGTTGATTACCGAAACATAATCCTTTGATGGTAAATTAATTTTTTTACAATTTGGGAAGCACCTTTGTTACCTTCAACTCTTTCAATTCTAAAAGAGAAAGAAAGAAAATGAGTTCTTGTTTATATTGTTATGTAAATTTATCAAATTATAAAAAAATATAGTTTTTCACACTAATTTGAGTTTTTTCTACTTAAAAAATGGAGTAGAAGCGACCGTTTCTGAGGTATTTTGTAAGTACTGTGTTTTACACTGGGAAAAAGAATTTTGCGCTGTAATTACTGTTTTTGAAAAAACAGTTTTGTTTATTAATTTTACACGAATAAGTATTTAAATGAATGAAAGCATGACAATAATAATAATAATAATAATAATAATAATAATAATAATAATAATAATAATAATAATAATAATAATAACAGATTCCCGGAACTATTTCTGGAAGGGTGAACTTTACTTGAAATCCATTTCTATGGTTTCCGTAACATTTGCCATTCATCTGACAATTATCAATTAAGTGTTTGTTTCACTGTCAAAGTATAAATGTCGTGCCTGCACGTGCAATTACTGGACACATATCATTAGTTGATAGCAACACTATCCCTAATGATCAGCCTCCTTGGCCACGTGGAAAATGGTCAATGCCCAATTTTTTTTTTTTTTTTTATAATAATAAATGTTAAAAAAATTCTATCTATAAAAATTTCGAAGCTATGAGAGTTTAAATTTTGCACGTTGGCTCTATTTACTTCTGTTGGACTACTTTTCCAAGTTTTTTTGATACAAGCTATTAGAAGAGAAAACAAGGAAGCTGTAACCTAAATTGAATCTCTGTTTAATGTTATTTGTGGCTTTTATTGGCAAAATTTTTGTATCTTTACTAAATAATTATAAAAAAACATACGTTTTTTACAGTATCATTAAATAGAGACATTGAATAGAAAAAATGTCAAATATCAAAAAATAGATGTCAAAATTTTTTTACAGAAAAGAATTTTTTAAACATTTTTTCCATGTTCCTGGTATCTTATTTAATTTGATTTTTTTTTCTGGGGCGCGAGTTCTGGCGCAGCCTGTATAATAATAATAATAAAAAATAAAATTGAATAACAAAAAAATATAACAAAAGTGCCTACTAAACTCAACCCCAAAATAATTCAAAAAAATATTATACCCACGAAAAAAAATATCATAAATACCATTAACATTAGGTAAACTAATTACTGTTAACCATGTAAAAACAAAAAATCTTTGTAGAGTGTACGAAATTTATACACGGAAACATTCAACTGAAAAAGAGCAGTAGAATTAAAAACTTTGACATTAAAGAAGGTTGAAAGATGGACGTACTAAAGTGAGGCATAGAAATTTTAGTATCATGACGAATGTTGACATTATGCATGCTTTTTCTAAATCTGATTTTTTTTCTAAGGTAGGATGGAGACGAAGTTGTCATAACTTTAAACATAAATGTACCCAATTGGTGTCGATACATATTTTCAACTTTTAACCAAGGTAGTTCGAATATTTTTGGCGAGACATGATCGTATTTTTTTAAGCCAAAGATGAACCTACAACAGATATTTTGGATTTTTTGTAATTTGTATTTTGTGATATTGTCTAAACAGGGATAATATAAGATTAAGCAGTATTTCATAAATGATATATCTAAGCTTTCTGTCAATTTTTTACGTAATTTAAAATTCAGAATTAAATAATCCAAAATAGGTAAAAAACTAATTTTTTAAAAATTGTTGGTTACTGTGAATACTGTTTAGTATGAACCCTATTTTCGCCGAACTCTTGGCAATGAAACGTGCACTATTGTGTCTTAATTCAATTTAAACACATCAGCGAGCAGCAGCATCTCGTCGATCTAAATTCGGTTTTGTCGTTGCAGAAAGTGCAAAGACACGAAATCGGCGAGGTGGTGATCTTGGACGCGGACGCAAATACCGTCACGACGCCATTCGACGACCTCAATAATCTACCTCAAGAAGTGGTAAATTTTTTTCCCTCCGATTTTGATTGTTATTTTGATTGGTTTTAATACGTAGATTACGTCGCTGAAACGACAATTGAAAAATAAGTCGGCCCTATTGGGTGATGGTGTATCACGTGCGTTTCTTCGGGCTCTTGTTCAATTAATTGGAGGATATCGGGACGGACTTAGGATACAAGAGGCACAAAAAATCACCTTCGACCAGGAGAAGTTCATCGAGACGAGGCCGGTGTCGTTTCAGCCGTTCCTGAGGGAGATGCTGCATTTGCAAATCTTCCAACAAGTAGGTTTTTATTTTTTTTTATTCCATTAAAACGGTTAATAATATTTACTAATTCAATTTTTTTATCTTTGTGTTTCTTTTATTTTAGTTTATTGAGGAAAGGCTTGCAATGTTGAATAACGGTCTCGGTTTTTCCGACGAATTCGAAATGGAAACATTCCGCTACTCTGTCCAATCCGGCTCGAAACTGAAGCAACAATACAAAGACTGGACATCAACAATGAAAAAAGAAGGTTCAGCCTTTTTCAAAAGTGTCAAAGAAAAGGTAAACAATATTCTGTTTGTGGTTGTTTTTGTGCTGATGTAGTTTCGTTTTTTTTTTTTCTCTCCCCCGTCATTGTTCGCAGGCCAATCCGGCTGTTAAGTCCGCTGTTAAAACGGTAAGTTTCAGCTTTTCGTATGTTTTTTCCACCCCCGCTTTCAGATTTAATTTATAATCACAATCGCGTGCAAACGGAAAAATTCTTAAACGAAGAAAGTGTGTTATTAAAAACGTCCGCTCAAAATGGTAACAATGTCAACGCTAATTTGAAGTGTTTCCGGTTCTTGTTAACGAAGTTGAATTTTTTAAACGTAGCAAGTAGGCAATCAATGTGTTTTATAACAATTGAACGTTCTTTGAGCTGACCAATGATAAAATTGAGTTTGATGTCAGGTGAGGTAACTGAGGCCGAACCTCACTTACTTAATTTAAACGCATTTTTCACATAAATTAGTTCTGAATAATTATTATCAATCATTAATTATATTCGAATTGCTTTCAACTGGAGAGGAGAATCTTTGTTGAAAAAATGTTCCAACGTTGACTCTGATGAGGCACAATTTTTCTGCCTCAGTTAAAGCGTTTTGCGCATGCGTGGTACCTACGGTCTCCCTCAAAGTGAGAGGGAAGACACATAGATGCAAAGTCTTGCATGCTTTATCTTTTACTGAGGCTAAAGTTTTGTGACCTCTCTGCAAACGTCGTGTCAAAATCAAAAAACAAAAACTTCCCTTTTTTCTTTAGTAGATTTGTCGCAAATTGCAGTATTTGTCAAAAAAAACATTCTGCATTTTTAATACAATTAAATTCTATTTATGCAAATGTTCTAGATTTGAACATTCTGCAGTTATTTATCCAGGGTGTTGAAAAAAGATTGTAAAATATTTAAGGCGGTAATAGAATGGACCAAAATAAACAAAAAAGTCTTAATAAACATGGGTCCGCAAAGTAACGGTTTCGGTGATATCTAATGTGAAAATTTTTGGAATTTCTACTAGAAGTTTTTTTTTTGTTTGAACAGATTGCAAATAAATGTTTCAAAAAACGAATAATCTTCGATGTTTATTAAGACTTTTTCATTTCTGCCTTGTTTTACATTATAATATGAATAATGATACAAAATAAAATACATATTAAACATTACACCAGAATTCTAAAAACATTAAAAATTTGTGAGAATATTAAAAAAAAAGAAAAAGAGCATAAGAGCTTTACAACATGAAGTAAGACCTATAAATAAAAAAATAAAATTTGAAATTGTCAAGTAGATCTTCCGAATTTCTTTATCTTTTTCATTATCTTCACTTTCTGTTTTTATTTGATTTTCTTGTATCGTTTTTATTTTTTGTTCTCCAAATTTTTTTGTTTTTATCTTTCTCAATTGTTAAATTACCGTTTCAGATTTTGTTTCAACCACTGTTTCTTTGTTACTTAGATAAATAATAAGGTTTTTTCTTAATTTTTTTGTTGCCGGATTGTTTTTTTTTTTCTTATGCCATGACAATTTTTTGATTCTACTTCCGTATATTTTTCTCAAATTTACCTTTTTTATTTCTCATTTTTATTAAAATAATTCATCTCATTTTCTTCAGATTAAATTTTCAAGTTTTTATTTAATCCAAAACACTTCAACTGGACTCAAAATTAGTTAAATCGGTGGCAAAACAAATAAAACCACGTTTATTTCATTTAAAAATATTAGTCTAATAATAATTACGATAGTTACAATAGGCCAAAATACGTATAACTAAAACATTTCAAGTGGACGTAAATCGGTTCTTGTAGGTGTCAAAATTAAGTAAACCACCAATTTTTTTTAAGACAAAAACATTAATCATAGATTGAATTGAAAGTACGTAAAACACTAAACAAGAGATTTCAAGTGGACTCAAATCAGATTATTTTGGTGTCAAAATTACACAAAAGCAACCATTTTTTTGTTTTACATTGAAATAAGAGAATACAATACATTCCATACCAGACTGAATTTCTAAAAACTTTAGAAAATTGTAAGAATATTAAAAAAAGCACAAGAACTTTACAACATTCGGTAAGTAATATGTAAGACGTATGACCAAAAAAGAATAAAATTCTGTCAATAAAAGAAGAAGAATAAAAACTGTCAATTAAATCCTCTTTCCTTGTTCATTTTCTCGTTTTTGTTTTTTTGTTTTTTTGTTTTTTAAATTGTTTATTTTTTCACAGTCCGAAACCGTTACTTTGCGGAACCATGCTTGTTAAGAAAGTTTTGTTTGTTTTGGTCCATACTATTACCTCTTAAAATATTTTACAATCTTTTTTTAACATCCTGTAGAGATTCGCAGTTTTCAAAAGCAGAGCCAATAACAATATTTATTATTTATTTATTTTTTTAACATTTTTTGTTTAAAACGAATTAAAACATGTTTGCAAAATTCATTGACAAATTTGCCAACCTAAAGAATTGATTTAATTTATGAGAAATAAATGTTATTATGGTTATTTATAGTTGGGATTTTATTTTATTTTTTGTTTGTTCTTGTTTTTGTTTCTAATTTTCATTATTTTGTTTTTTATAAAAAAATTATGTTATTTTAATGCTAAAGAAAACAAATATGACACCTTAAAAAAGTCAATTTTTTGTTGATTCTGGATTCTCCTGGCCTCACTTGACTCAAGATTCACGAATCGCCATTGTTCGATGTATTAAAATAAATTTGGATGTTAGGTGAAAGACGGCGGTAAGGGTGTGAAAAGTGCCTATCGGGGTCTACGTTCCCGTTTGAAGGAAAACCAAGGTCCGCAACAGCTCCAAAACGGCCTCGACAGTCCCAATGATAAGCCTCGTTCGGCTCCTAATTCGCCGACCGGAAAACGGCGTACATTCGTCGGCATCAGTGTGCCTACAAATCACCGGAAAGATACGGCATTGTCGTTCAAAAGTTCAGGCTTTGAAAGGTCAGTGCATTGGTGGAAAATCGCCGCAAAGTTACTGAAACAAGTCCAATTTTTAAAGGTCGTATAGTCCATTAAGTCCCACTTCGCAACCCATCTCACCGGATGGTGGTTTGGACGCGTCTCGAAGCGGTAGTCCCAATCTGGAGTTCCCTCGTATCGACTTGATGAATGAAATGAAGGATTTATTGCAGCTACGTTTGGACACCCCACCAGTGGACCGATCCGTGAGTGCATTTTAGGGGTTTTGTTTAGTTAGATTTGGTCTAAGAAATTGCCCAGTCAAATTAGACAAATCGGTGGAAAAAAATCCTAGAGTTGGAATTTTTTTAAAACGCTTTCTTTACACTTGGGTAGACATATATCAAGTCGAGAAGGGGGAGGGGGTTAAAGGTGTCTTTTTTTGATTTTTTGCTTATATCTCGGAAATTATCACTCCTATAGGTTTTGATCTTCTTATCAAAATTAAAGCTTACAAAATTTCGTACAAAAATGGTCCTTTGCATTTTTGTTGTAGGACTAACCGTAAGCGAGTTAGAGGGCAGACAAAAAACATCATTTAAAAAAATGTGCTTTATCTGCATTTAAAACAGAATTAGTCTTGTAATAAAAAAAAAAAAACTGACAGTAAATTTACTGGGTCCAATACTTCATTAAAGGAAGGGAGAGTCACGAGGGTCTATAAATACAAACTCATCGTTTATGGAATTTATGCAGAATTTTCTGTAGAAGTCTCTTTCTGCATCAAAATTTCCTACAAAAATGGTCCTATTCATTTTTGTCGTAGGACCCTAGGCTTCGAAAGTTTGGAGTCTACATAAAATTGCATTAAAAATCCTTTGAAACACATTTCATTAGTATATGGTAAGTTTTTATATGTGTAGAGCGTTCCCCAACTAAGCTGGTCTGCCTGAAAGGTGACTCGGGTGTAAACATTTAAACGGAGATTTAAACAGCGGCGGACTGGCAAATTTTTATATGGAGTGCTAAGTTGAAATGAGGGCCCAATATACAATACAATAAAAATATGTATAAAAACTACTTTACTTGTCACTTAATGTAGTAAATTTTTTTGAAGGAGTTTGTTTTCTCTATAGAGATTGTGACGTCAGTTGAAATCATGATGGTTTAATAAACGAAAATAAAGTTTTTAGATGAACGTCTTCAGAGGCTGCTTGTAATTTTAATTTTTGTTTTTCTTTTCGTTTCTTTGTACCAAATTTATACTTATATTTAGATTTTTCCATTATTTATGCCCATACTAATAATTAAAAAAAAAATTAAATTAAGTAAAAACGATATTTTATATCGGTTGATTACAAAATTTGTGGCATAATTTTAATTACGAATACCCCTCTACAATTGAGAATAGATAGTACAGTATTTATTGATCCACCTCAAAAAAATTACAACTTTCCAAAAATCGGTATGAAAAAATTATTTTCTGGAAATATTTTTGTTACCGTTTATCCGATTACAAAAAGACATTCTTTGATTTGGTGTAAACGGAAGTCTTGTAGAAGCTATACATTTCCGGTAGCAATGGGTCCTCCCAGTTTTGGGATCATAACTTTTTTTCGGCTTATTAATTTCTGTTTTTGATACAGCCCAACCATTTTTTTTTATACTCGTAAAAAATGTAGTTTCATATGTTTCATATCGCCAAAATGTACCGTTCTCGAGTTATTTGAGTTTAAACTAAATCCTACATCGCGCTGCAAAATCAGAATTTATACATTTTGAGTGTACCTTGGAAACAATCCACTACGAATGACATCGCTGTGAATGCTGTCATATTTAATGTAAATTTCATTAAATCTAAAGGAACATTTGTTTATTTCTTGATGATTATAAAAGCTGTAATTTTTCTATTGCTTGATGAGTTGGATTAATAAATACTGTGCTATCTATGTGCATTTGTAGAGGAGTATTCGTGATTAAAATTATGACACAAATTTTTGAATCACTTGTATAAATCCACGCGGAATTTTTCTTACATGCGTGTAAGACCTAATAAACAAAATTGAGCTAAAATCATTGAAATTATAGAAATTATAGTTTTATTTGTTATGATGGCAATTTTTTAATTCCTTCAAACTAAACACACTAAGCTTCTGCGAAAAACGCGTTAGCTCAATGCAATATCAAATTATAACCTTTTAGTGCATTGTGGAAAGTTTATTTACAAATTTAAAATTATTGATATTATTTCAATGAGCTCTTGACATAGTAAGTCTACCATAATTGGGGGCCCGTAAGACTGGAAGGCCCGGGGTGCTGTGGCACCCCGGCACCCCTGGCCAATCCGCCCCTGGATTTAAATAAAAATTTTGGATGAAAGAGAGAATTAATCTGTAAGAGGGTTAAATGGAGTGTAAATGTTTAAATAAAGATATAAACAAAATTCTTTAGAGGTGTAAAGGGGCACTAAAATCAGATTTTTCGAAAATTAGTTTTTAAGGGAATAAAACGGTGTACACATTTAAAGGGATATAAAAACATTAAATTTAAAAAATATGATCCTTAGAGTGTGTAGAAGTGCACTTTTCAAATTTTAATAAAATAAAATAGAGTTTAAACGCTTAAAAACAAAATTAGAAACATGATATTTCGAATTTTAAGAGTGCAGAAGTGCACTGAGACGACACTTTATGAAAATCAACATTTAATATTTATCCATAAATATAGCCCATGCGAAGAACGAGACTATTATAACTGAATCCTATACATAACATAGGTAATTATCTAGCGTTATAGAGTACCTAAGCCTATGGAATGGTTTTATGAACGGGCCTTTTCCCATTTTATATCAGAAATACACGCGAATAAAGTCACAGGGAAATGCTAGTTCAGCATATAAGGATGACTCAGAAGACTTGATAGACCCTCGTGGCACCTTCTAATAAACTTTTGGATCCAATACAATCAATTTACTGTAAACTTTATTTAAATCATCGAGATTAAATCATCTATTTATTAATATTGTACTGAACAAGACTGTAATTCAGTTTTCAATGTTTAAGTTGAAGACGAAGATGCAGCATGTGAGGACGACTCAGAAGACTTTATAGACTCTCTAATGAAGTGTTGCATTCAATAAATTCCTTTTTCTTTCAGTTTTTTCAAATCACAAGATTAATTCTGTTTTAAATGCGGATAAAGCACATTTTTTTAAATGATGTTTTTTATCAGCCCTATAACTCGCTTACAGTTAGTCCTACAACAAAAATGCAAAAGGACCATTTTTGTAGGAAATTTTATAGGCTTTAATTTTGATAAGAAGATAAAATTAATAAAAATAATTTCCGAGATATAAGCAAAAAAACAAAAAAAACACCTTTAACACCCCCCCCCCCTCCTCGAGCTCGTCCCCCACCTTCGGGGACTTTTGATATATGTCTACCCAAGAATAAAGAAAGCGTTTAAAAAAAATTCCAACTCCACCGATCGCCCTATTTTTGTCTAATTTGACTGGGCTATAAAATTTGAACAGTTTGGTACACAACCACCCCCCTTTGCACCATGTTATTAACACAATTTGCGAGTGTCATCCACTGTAGCTTTCTGTGTGTCGGCTTGCAGTTAAAACCGGTCCGTAGCTTGGAAAACTTCAAACAGCACACATCCCCGTCATCGAACAGCCCCGACCGTTGGGTGTTCCCGTCGCGTACCAGCGCCCCCATGGCCTCCCCCCCTAAACGTTTCTTCCTCCCCAATCAACCCTCTTCCGAAACCCAAAACCTCCTCCAATCCCCCGACGATGTGTTTTCCTCCCCGCCAATCCCACCTCGCGAGGCCAAAGATCTATTCGGGACGACACCGTTCGTGGTCGCTGAGGGACACAGCGAGAACGGCGATCCCCTTTTCCTTGTCGCTAATCAACACTCTATTGATATCGTTAAGCTATCACCGCCTACTTGTTCGCCTCGGCGGAAGGTAATTGTTTTTTGTGTGTTGCTTGGGTGTGGGGTTTTGGGTGCGAATTTTGGGTAATTTTGGTATTATCGTAGCCTGAAGATATGGAGGATTTAATTCGGCTGGATTCTACGTCCGATACGGATGATTTTGATCCACTCAAGTCGAATTCGTACAACAGTGGCGCCCCCGCACCGTTGAGTCTTTCGAATCCGCTCTACACGTATGAGAATCATTCGACGAAACAAAATGGTTCAGTGCAAAATAGAAACGATCAAGATTTACTCCAAGAGTACGGTTTAGATTTTAGTTTTTCGAGTGTGCAAAATCAACAAATATTCGATCCGTTTGCTAGTACTAGTGCGAGTAACAAAGTCAATTCTCAAAGTCAGTGGACTAGATTCGATTGAAAAGTGATATTAAAAAATTTTATACGGTTTTTATGAAAGTGCAACGTTTGTGTTTTTATTTACAAATTTTATTTATACACGAGTTATGTATGCATATTTGGGCGGATATATCAAGTTACGTAATTTATATTATTTTTTATTATGATGTACAATTTTTCCTAGGTAAGAAGCAACGTAAACATACCTAAAATGAAGACTCGGAAAATTATAGAATTAGCTGTGATACTCCTTATTTGTTTATCATTCAAAATCGGTTTATTTTTTGTTAGATTGCACGTTATAAATAAAAAATATCAATTTACAACTATTTTGTCGTATATAGACCAACAACTTAAAATTGGAAAAGTTTATTATGTCTGAACTTAAAATAGGCTAAGCTATAATACTGTGATTGTAACAATTGTATATTCACCTGATTAAATTGTAAATGCCTCGTAACCTTATTTACAATCACCACCTACACTACAAATAAATAAACTGAAATAAATTACTAAAGCAAAATCACTTTATTCCATCAATTTTAAAGCTTCGATTGCAGTTTGCAATCTCTCGAATTCCACAATGGTCTGTGCCAACTTTTCGCTATTGGTTTGTTGGACTTCGGGTGGTACTTTGGTCGCATAATCAGCCGCACTCATCGCTTGGTTCAATTTGTTTTTGGTGCCTTGCAAAAAGTCCAGTTTTTTCTCGATTTTGGCGATTTCTTTCGCCGGTTCGATCAATCCTTTGAGCAGTAAGTTGACTTGGCATTTGTCCGAGACGGTGATGATGGCGCATCCTGGGGGCGCTTGCTCGTTAACACCGATTTTCGAACAGTAAGACAGCGTTTGTAGGGCTGGGATGAACTTGGTGAGGGTTGTCTCGGTCGCCGAGTCGCTGCACTGCAGATAAGCTGCAAAGAAAACCATTTTTATACAAATGAAAGAAGAAAGAGGAATTGACACGAACAAAAAGGAAAAAAAAATACAAACAAGAGGAAAAGAAACCTGGTGACGACTGTATTTCTTACCTGGATGAAGGAGAGGAAACCTGAAGAAATTGCTTTGAAGAAAGATGAAAGTGGAAAAAGTTGTGAACATGGTCTAAAAAGAAGAAAATGAAAAGATTTGACTAAAAAAGAGAAAACTCAATTTAAAAAAGAAGCTTAAAGTGTGAGCAGATATTTAAAGAAACAGAAGCTAAGTTAAACAGAAAAGTGTCGACGCCGTCAGGTATTTGAAGAAAATGCTGGAGAAGTCAAACAGAAAAAAGAAATTAAAAAAGTCCGTACTCAATGATGATGAAGAGAAAAAAGAAGAAGAAAGCTAAAGAAATTGCTTTGAGAAATAAAGATAAAAGTGAAGAAAGTTGTGAACATGGTCAAAAAAAAAAAGAAAAAAAAAGATTCGACTAAAAAAGAGTAATTAAAAAAGAAGCCTAAAGTGTGAGCAGATGCTTAAAGAAACAGAGCTAAAAGAAAAAAATGCTGAAGAAGTCAAACAGGAAAAAAAAAAGAAATCAAAAAAGTATATACAGAAAAAGAAGAGGAAACCTAAAGAAATTGCTTTGAGAAACAAAGATAAAAGTAAAGAAAGTTACAAAAATGAAGATAAAGCAAACAAAAGACGAAGAAACGTTAAAATAGAGAAAAATCTAAATGTTAAGAAAAAAATCTAGCAGGTTAAGAAGAAGATACTAAAAAAAGTCCGTACTCACTGATGATGAAGAGAAAAAAGAAATTACTTTGAGAAATAATGATAAAAATGGAGAAAGTTGGGAACATGGTCAAAAAAAAAGATTTGACTAAAAAAGAGAAAACCAAAATTAAAAAAGTGTGAGCAGAAGAAACAGAAGCCAAAAGAAAAAAATTCTTGAAGAAGTCAAACAGAAAAAAAAATTAAAGAAGTATATACAGCAAAAGAAGAAACCTTAAGAAACTGCTATGAGAAATAAAAAGAAAAGTTGAAGAAACGTTAAAATAGAATCTAGAATTGAAAAAAAAGCGTCAACTCCGTCAACAGATATTTGAAGAAAAAGATGCTAAACTAAAAGAAAAAGAAAAAATGTTGGAGAAGATGTTTGAAATAGAATAAATAAATGAACTACAATAAGAACTTGCTTCTTAAGTTAACATCCAGAAACCAAATTTTTAATTAATTTTAATTTTTATGTAATAAAATTTTGAATTTTGAGCCTAACCCTACCTTCGGTTTTGGTTTTGTTTGGCAAATTGTAGTCACTCCGCGCCGACCTGATTGCCTTGGCCACCTTTTGCACAAAATCAACTTCATGTTCCAGCGTTTCGTTCCTCCAGGGACAATCTTCAGGTTCGGGATACGGACAAACACAAATACTTGGAATGTTGTCGCGAATTTCTTTGGGTCGAGGCAACCTCTGGTACAACTCTTCGGTGATAAAAGGCATGAAGGGCGAAAGGAGGCGTAAACCGACCTCCAAAGCCCTGTAAAGTGTCACTTGGGCGGTTTTTTTCGTTGCTTCATCACCACTTGCAAATATCGGTTTCAAATATTCCTGCAATTTTTTATTATTTTTTGGGTTATATAAAAAATCAATAACGAACCAAGTAGACGTCGCAAAGCTCATAAAGCCAGACATTGTAGATGGCGGTAGTGGCAGTAGGAAACTCGTAGTGCAAAAACCCGTGATTGGCATCCCTGACGGCGGCCGCTAAGCGACTCAACATCCACAAATCCATCACTTTTTCATTACCTACAAGCTCCCCACTTGTCGGAGCTTGAAAATCATCACTGAAATATGTCAGTGCGAATTTCGTCGCATTCCATATTTTATTACAGAAAAATCTATATCCCTGCACTCGTAAAATATCCAAATTGATGTCTCGTCCGGAACACATAGCGCACAAGGCGAATCTGAGTGCGTCAGTCCCACATTCAGGGATACCTTCAGGATAATCCCGTTTTTGCCCGGCTTTGGCCTTCTCAATCTCACTCGGGTCCAAATTACTCCCATACAACTGCTGGTGCAACTCTTCCAGAGTTATTCCCTTGATGACGTCCATCGGGTCGATGACATTCCCCAGGGATTTACTCATTTTGCGACCGTGTGCGTCCCGGACAATCGGATGTAAGTAAACTTCCTTGAACGGGAGTTTCCCGAGGAGTTTCTGTCCGAAAAACACCATTCTTGCCACCCAGAAGAAGAGAATGTCGTGGCCGGTCTCGAGGAGCGATGTTGGGTAGAAGATGCGCAAATCTTCCGTTTCGTCAGGCCATCCGAAGATGGAGAATGGGAAGAGACCGGAGGAAAACCACGTGTCGAGGACGTCCTCGTCTTGGGTGAGGATGACGTCGTCGGGTGTGGTGTTGAACAGTTTGGCGGCTTTATCACGGGCTTCGGCTTCCGTGCGACCGGAGATCCAACGAGAATGGTCATCGGCCTGAACATAGTAATTATTGCAAATATACAGGGCGTCCTAGCGTTTATTTTTGACATTTAATTGATAAAATGTTAGGAAATGAGTACAATTATTGTGAAATCTGTCACTGCGCCACCACGTCCCCGGTCAGTGTCTCTGCTATAAACGAATATAATCATTCAAACACAAAATTTATTTTTTTATTTAAGTGCATTTGGAACAATTTTGAAACTTTTCTTTTTTTTTATAACTTCTTTATGTTTAAACAAACTTACTAAATTTTACCAAAACAAAATAGAAAATTACCAAATTAAAAAAATGTTTTATTTTCCTTTCTTTTCTAAATTTAGAGTGTTTCCACCAACAAATTCACAAAATTTGAAAGATTTTGCCAAAACAAGTCAAGAAATTGCAAAATTAGGTTTAAAATACCTATTTTCTATTATAGGTTAGGTAAATTTTTACAAAACAAGACAAAAACTTGACCATGAATTTAGAAGTGTTTTTAATGACAGAATTTGAAAAAATATGTAAAATTAGGCTTGAAAATGCGTTGTTTTCGCATATTCAATGCGTTTTTCATCGAGAAACATACTATTTTACAAAAACAGAATAGAAAATTGCAAAATTAGATCGAATTTTTTTATTTTTCTATGAATTTAAGAGTTTTTCTCACTGTCAAACTTACTAAATTCTAACTATTTTATCAAAACAAAATAGAAAATTGCGAAATTGGAACGAAAATGCGTTATTTTACTTTCTTTGAGAAATAAGGTAAAAAGTAGGTCAAAAATGCGTTGTTTTTGCTGATTTTGATAAAATAGTTTTCCACCACGAAATTTTAAAGATTTCGACAAAACAAGACAAAAAAATGCAAAATTAAGTGTGGAATGCGTTATTTTCTATTTTGTAAAGATTTTTCACCGAGAAACTATCAAAATTCGGTAAATCTTGGCAAAACAAGGCAAACAATAGACCAAAAATATGTTTTTTTGTCATTTCGATGAATTCGAGCGTATTTATTAAGAAAGTAAATACGAAACCAAGGCAAAAAAATTACAAAATTAGCTTTAAAATGCGTTAATTTCTATTTTGCAATGGTTTTTCATCAAAATTCGGTAAATTTTTACAAAATAAGGCAAAAATTAGACCAAAAGTGTGTTTTTTTTAAATGAATTTCGAGGATGAATTTTACTGAAAAAACTATTAAATTCGAAAGATTTTTCCAAAACAAGGTAAAAAAAATAATAAAATTAGAGCAAAACTGCGTATTTTCCATCAATTTAAAAGTGTTTTTTAATAACAAAATTTGAAAAACGTTGTATAAAACAATAAAACTGGACGGGAAATACGTTGTTTTCGTATATTCAACGCGTTTTTCACCGAGAAACATACAAAGTTCGAAGTATCTTACCAAAACAGAATATAGAATTGTAAAATTAAATCTAAAATGTTATTTTTCTATAAATTTTAGAGTTTTTCTAACTGAAGAACTTACTAAATCCAAACTATTTTATCAAAACAAAATAGAAAATTGCAAATTTATTTTCCTCTCTGCTAAAATAAGGCAAAAAATAGGAGAAGATTGCGTTATTTTTGATGACTGTGATAAATTAATAGTTTTCCACAAGGCAAAAAATTGCAAAATTAGGTGTAGAATTCGTTGTTTTGTATTTTACAAGAATTTTTAACCGAGAAACCATCGAAATTCGTTAAATCTTGCCAAACAAGGCAAAAATTATATCAAAAATATGTTTTTTTTTTTTGTCTATTTCGATGAATTTCTAGCGCATTTAAGTTAAAAATTGTAAAATTATTCTTGGACATGCGTTATTTACACCTGTTTTTTTTTTAATCTAGAGATCTTTTTTATGAAAAAAGTCAAAAATAAGAAACTTGTAGAAACACAGTCGGAAATGCTAACTTAATTTGAGGTGCGTCATTTTCGCCTGTTTTGATAGATTTTTACTAGTAAACTCTCAAAATTCGAGAAATTTTATCAAAACAAGATAGAAAATTGCAAAATTAAATTCAGTTTTTCGTAGAAGAAATCTTACTAAATCCCTTTTTCTGAAAATAATGTAAATATCGCTGGTAAGCACTTTTAATGTATTATTTTGGAATGCTTTGAATACTTACATCAGAGCCCGGTTTGCCCCCTTGACTCTTCAACGTTGCATAATAGGCCGGGATTCGATGCCCCCACCACAACTGTCTCGAAATACACCAATCCCTAATCCCATTCATCCAATAATGCCACGTTTTGATATGCATCTCGGGAATAATCTTCAATTCACCCGAATTGACAGCTTCCACTGCTTTCGCTGCCATTTCATCACACTTAACGTACCATTGGGGCTTCAACATGGGCTCGATAATATCCTTGCTGCGACTACACACCGGCACCACCATCGGATTATTCTTCGTCTCAACATACAAACCCAACTGTTTCAACTCCTCGATCACGGCTTTCCTAGCTTGGAAACGCTTCATTCCCTATTAAGAAACCATAATTACAAATTCTCGGTTTGAGAAAGGGTCAAAATTACCGTAAATTTCCCGTAATCGCCACAAATGTACCCTTTATCGTCAAAAATCGTGATAAAGGGCAAATTATGCCTCTTCCCCACTTCATAATCATTAGGGTCATGCGCAGGCGTGATTTTCACCGCTCCTGTCCCGAAATCCCTTTCAACGAACTCGTCGAGCACGATCGGCAATTTCCGGTCGCAGAACGGGTGAATCACTTGTTTGCCGTGCAAATGTTTGTATCGGGCGTCTTCGGGATGCACCGCCACGGCTGTATCGCCTAACATCGTCTCGATTCGGGTCGTAGCCACTACGATTATCTCATCCGAACCGTCGATTTTATAAGCAAAAGATACTAAAACCCCAAACTCGATTTTCTCATCGTAGCCGGGGACTGACAAGAATGTACGTCCCGGAATTTCAATTTTGTCGACTTCGATGTCGGAAATAGCCGATTTGAGAGTGCAAGACCAGTTTACTAATCTATTGGCGCGATAGATGTAGCCTTCTTCGTGCAAACGCACGAATGCTTCGGTTACTGCACGAGACAGGCGGGGGTTCATCGTGAACTGGGCGCGGTCCCAGTCGAATGAAGAGCCCAGTTTTTTCAACTGGTGGTAAATACGGTCCCCTTTTCTGTTAAAAACAAATTTTATTCAACTTTAGCCACCGAAACATTATTTCAAATGCACGAAGTAAGACGAAGTTTTAGTTTAGTTTTGGTAAGTACAGCAGAAGAATTTTAGAGTTAAATTGTGTTTATGAAAGTGAAATTTTTGGTAATAAAAAATATTCAAGAAAATGGTGCTTTCACTTTCATTTTCTAAAAATTTAGACAACCTGTCATATTTTTATAGAATTTTTTTGAAAATTAAAGAGCCAAAAATTAGAAATAATTTTTATTCAAAAACACTTTTTTCTTTCTTTCATTTACAATGATACAAAAAAATCGCAAAATTTGGTCTAAATTGGTTAATTTTTTGTTTCTTTAGATTTAAGGCATTTTTTACTGAAAAACTTATGAAAATTGAAGAATTTTTGCCAAAACATGACAGAAATTGGATCTAAAAGTCAATTCTTGCATCAGTTTTTCTAAATCTAAAGCGTTTTTACCAATTTTTCTCGATCAAAAATGCTTTATTTTTGCCTAATAACCTCGAGAGATTAATATTTTGACCAAATTTATCAGTTAGGACGCTTTTTAGAAACAAATGTTTTAAATTAAAAAGCAACAACGGAAATTATGCAATGTAATTGTGCGATTCTGCATTATTTTGTCAGATTTTTTTTATTTTAATTTTTTCATAAATTTTGTGAAAATTGCTCTAAATCTAAAGAAATAAATTCGTCTTCTGATAAAGCAGTTTTGAAATATTTTTACAAATTTCTGTATTATTTAGCCCAGATTTGGAAAATTTAGTGTTTCTTGCTAAAAAAAACCTCCCATGTTGCAATAAGGCAAAAATAACTAGTTTTGAAACAAATTTAAGGATTTTCAATCTTGTTTTGAAGAAATTTTATATTTTATTTTTGTAAAAGAACGCCCTAAATCTAGATAAACAGGGGAAAATCATGCATTTTTGCGATGTTATGAGCTATTTTAAAAAAATCTATCAAAATCTTTGAAAAGAAAATTTCGTGTTTCTGAAACATAGAGCGTTTCCCATCAAAACACTCATTAAAATCAAATGATTTGAGCAAAATAATGCAGATTTTGCCCTTATTTTACCTTATTTTTTACCTTAAGAATATTATCAAAATTAAGAATTTCACCAAAACAAGAGAGAAAATCGCAAAATTAGGTCTAAAACACGACATTTAGCTAGTTTTTTGAGATTTCAAGCGTTTGTGGGCTATTTTTTATAAATTTTTCTTGATCAAAAATAACCGATACTACCTACTTACTATACAAATATTCGTGTGTTTCTCTAAACTTTTTTTCCACTCATTAAAATCAAAAGATTTGAGCAAAATAATACAAATAATCGTAAACTTTAGTACTACCTGCTTTGTTTTCATTTATTTCTTTATATAATATTTTGAGCATTTTTTTACTGAGAAACTGACTAAAATCAGAAGATTTGGCCAGCATATTGCAAAAGAAACTAAAATTTGGTCACAATTCTATTATTTTTACGTGTTTCTCTAGACTTAAAAACTTTTTTTAAAGAAAAAAATTTTAATATCAAGTAAAAAAAATCGCAAAATTAGGTCTTAATTGCCCCATTTTCGACAGATTTTCTACGTTTAAATCGTTTTTGTTAAAACAACTTACAAAATCACAAACAATGCATTTATTTTCGCCTGTTTCTCTAGATTTTAGACGTTTTTTACGAAAAAAAATATTAAAATATCTCCAAAACAAGATTAAAATTTTCAAAACCAATTATTTTTGCCTGTTTTTCGATCCATTTGGAGAGTTTTTTAAGAAAAAATAGACTAAATTCCACGGATTTGGAAATTTGGAAAAATAATACGGAAATTCCTAAAATTTCCCCAAAAGAAGGCTGAAAGTTGCAAAATTGGGTTTAAAGTGCATGTTTTTTGCTTGTTTGAAAACGTTTTCTAAGAAATGCATAGAAATGGCGTTTTTAAACCACCACTTGTGTGAAATTAATTTAAAAACGATTTGTGAAAATAGCTCATAACATCGCATAAATGCATCATTTTCGACTGTTTGTCTACATCTTAGGCGTTTTTTAAGAAAGAAATTTATAAAAATTTCTCTAAAACAAGATTGACAATCACCCAAGTGGCTTCAAAAGCCGTTGACTCGTTAAATTAAATAATTAAAAAAAATAATGGCAAAAATTGCTTACTCTTCTTTCCATTCCCACACTTTGCTAATGAACCCTTCACGTCCGATATCGTGTCGCGTTTTTTTCTCATCTCTCCATAATTTTTTTTCTACGACGACTTGAGTGGCAATTCCGGCGTGGTCACAACCGGGGTTCCACAGAGTCGTCTCACCTCTCATTCTATGCCTGATAAAAGAAATCATTTTCGAATTGGTTTTATTGGTGAGATTTTACCATCGAACAATGGAGTCTTGAATCGCATTGGTCAATGCGTGGCCTAAATGGAGCGAACCGGTGACGTTTGGAGGTGGAATTACGATCACGAATTTGCCTTTGGGGTTGGGCTCACCCACTGACTTTCTCTGCAATTAAACATACAATTTTTTTTCTAAATTTGTTGTCAAATAATTGACGAGCAGTTTTGCCAACTTAAATACTCATTCTTGATCACTCTGTGGATTATAATTAAGCTCTCACCCCATATTCTGGTTTGAAAAACCCCTTTTTTTCCCACCAGGGATACCACGCCGCCTCTACGAACTGCGGACTGTAGGCATCAGGCAAAGCATTAGCAATATCCTTCTTGTCACCCTCCGGTGTCGGTATACTATAAACCGCAGCCTCCTTAACTTCCTTCTTCTTTTCTTTTTTCTACCAAAAAGCATTCGCATTATTACACATATGTTGCATCACTCACCCTTACCTCGGTCTCCTTCTTCGGCGCAGCGTTTTGTTGCTTTTCCAATTTTTGCTTCAACTTGTCCAATTTTGCTTGTTTCTTTGCTTCTTTTTCCAATTGTTTGGCAGTCTTCGGGGGGGCCAAGTCCCCATTTTGGAGCACTGCTTCGTCACACATCTTAGCACGTTGTGAAATTTTGACAGGAGACGTGACGTCAAAAGTCAGCCTGCGATAACCTTAAAATTGCTGAAACGATTTTTTTTTAAACTAGCAATCGATAAGTACGAGGGGCACCACGTTAATTAAACAAGAGAGTTTTATTGAATCGGGTTATATTAAAATTCAAATCAAAATTCTAACTTATGGGATTTATAACTACTGCAACTTCTAACTAATGCCATTTTGACAATATAAAACCGGCTTTATTCAAAAGAAAATAAATTTATTTTTCTCATATTAATAAAATTTAAAATTATTTATATATTTTTTCTTATAATTGTATACTTAAAGCTTGTAATGTTGCTTCAAATATTCCAGCCACACAACAGGAGAATATAACTTTCTCGTAATTCTGCTAGAACTCGTGTTGGAAGAAACAGAGCCTAAACTTTCATTGGAAGTAGAATTCACTCCTGTAAAATCATAAAATAATCGCAAAACCTATGTTATAACAGACTTACTTTCAAAAGCACTCGAACATTTTGCTTGTCCTTTGGGAGTTTTTACTTTGTCTGCATTTTTGTTTGACTGACGTAATCGTGGCTTAGATTTAGTAGACACTGCAACTATACAAAAAAACAATTTATCCAAATTATTTCATCAGTGTGCTTACAAGTGTTGTTTCCTTGAGATTGATTCATTTTTGCTAAAAAAACACAAATAACTTTTGTTTTCAAGGACATAAATTGTACCTTTTTTCGTTGGTACTCCATCCAAACTCTGTGTCTTCCTTTTACGTGGACGTTGGGGTTTTTCAGGTTCCAATTGGGAATCCTCGAGGGTGTCTTTAATTTTTTTCTGGATGTAGACCATTCTGTCTAAATGTACCGGTTCTTTCCCTAAAAACAACAATTTAAAATGTAATCAAGCACGTCAATAAATCACCTTCAGTGTTTTTGAGTCGTTGTGACCTGCGAACTTCCCTTGGTGCCCCCAATGTTTGCCTTCGAAGTACCTAGAATGAAAATGTAAGAGAAAGTGTGATTTACGCAATTTTTGTTTACTTTAAGTGCTTACTTTTTCACTTTTTGTATGTTTGGACATGACGACCCCACTTGAACTCGCTGTGTCCCGGCAAGGGGTTCTCGCCACCGTCTCCACATCTAACGAATCATGTGGGGCTTCCTAAAATCACAAAAATCAACATCTGAGTTACTTATAATTGAAATTTACATGTGTTGATTCTCCCATTTCCCTTTGCGATTCATGGTTTTCAGAGTCAAAAAACTGGGATGCGTCAAAATTACAGTTTTTAACCCCAAATAATTGCTGAGTTTTAATTAAACACGTGAGTAAGTTATCTAATCTCCTCCGGAAATTTTTCTTAACATTATCTGAAAGTTTCGCGTAACAAACTAACAAAAAAAGAACTCGACTCGTTTTTACCATCTGCCGTTAAATCAGTTAAACTCCGTGTAAGCTCCATAATAGTCCCAAACATAAACTTAAAAGTTTGTGCTGGTGTTAAATTCACAGCCTCGATTATCTTTGCAGTAATTTGTTCTTCTGTTTGAACAGAACCTTGTTCAGAGGATACATTAACATCGTCATCTTCTGAATCTGATTCCTCATGTCTTGTAACAATGCAATTGTCGTAATTTGGTTTTGAAATTCCAGGAACCATCTTCTGGTTTTTTAACCTGAAAAAATCGACGGAAAATGTCTCATTGGTACTTACGCAAATTCGCTCTTACTTAGTAACTTTGTTCCCACTTGAAATTAAAAAAGAATAATCAAGATTTTGGTTTTAGAAAGCTCAAAACTAAAAAGAGCTAAAATAAGCTTAACTGGCGCCAAAAAAACGTAAACAACGAAACCACGCCATCCACAGAACGTCATCTGTTCTTTTAGCCGAAATTAACACCGACCGCATGTGCTGCGAACCGAAAATTGAATTTTTATTAATATTTAACAATAAAAAAAGTGCAAAATGTATTGATATTGTCATATTATGAAATTTTTGTGGTTGACATACTGAATTTTGAAAGAAATCTAGTAAATTGAAATGTGTTAATTGTACAGTTGGAGACAAAATACTTTGGTCGTCATTTTTCTGACACTTTAATGTAATTCAAGCTTTAACGTTAAAATGAATGACAATTTCAAATTAATGACAGCTGTTGTATTTTCCTATGAAAAATATGTATGTACAACTTGTCAACTATGATTGACAGTAGCTAAAATAAGGTCAACAGTCCTAAATCATGCTTTACAATTTAGTGTCACTCAAATAACATTGATGACCAAAGTGTTTTGTCTCCAACTGTATAAAACGTTAGTAAATTTGGAATTTGGAATTGGTACAAATAGAAAGAAAATATTTATTTGAGGAAATAAAATTTAAAAAAAAATAATTTTAAGTAATCTGCTCAAGCTGATTTTACACACTTTCTCCAGACTAGGGTTCTTTAGAAATACTTAATTAACATTTTTTTGTTTTAACGTTGGCAATCAAATGCCAACCTGACAAAATAACGTCAATTTAAAATGTTGGTTTTTTATTTCATGATTTTAATATTACACAATATTAATTTCCATTTTTGTTGGATGGTTTTAATGTCAAATGTGGACATAAATGACTTTTAAAAATTACAATTTATTATAAATCCTTATGTTGTTCATTGTTTATTTATTGTCAAATGAAAATAATTTTCATTGGTTTAGTGCAATTTCTCTCTTATGTATTATTTTCGCCCCTTTATTTTTATCTACAAAACTATATATCATTGCAGATATATTTTTTATTTATTTAGAGTGAAAAGGACAAGAAATTCGCCGGGATTTCTGATGCAATTTCTCGACATCACAAATCCAATCAACATTTCGGAAAATAATGCGTCAGTGGGCGTAACGCCGACTGGTGAATAAAGCAGGTATCGATTATGCCTCTGACACGAAAAGTGCACATAAATCATCGGTTTTTCATCCAAATTATTGGTTTTGGGGTCAAATTTGAATCAAAAATTTTTAATAATGAAAAAACTATTCGATCCCCGCCAAAAATCATGCCTAGTATTGATATCACGTGACTGGACTAGTTCGACAGGCATGATGGCGCCAAATATCGATGGAAACCTTCCGGAACAATCCGGGATCAATTAAATCCCGCCCGGAATCGATGAATTTATTCAATAATCACTTTTTTCGCTTTTTTCCCCTAAATATGCGTTTTAATCGGCTCAACTCGCCGCATCGCATTTGCCTTGGAATGTGTAATGAGGACATATTGGTTATGCGGGACAGAGATAGCGCTATGGGAATCGGGACTTTCATTGTGGAAAAGTCGGGATTTGAGGGGTAAATTTAAGACTTAGAGGGTCAAATCGCCGGGTTGGGGGCTGTAGATAAGTCTGGGGGCCGGTTTGGGGCGCCTTATTGCGTTTTTGTGTGATTTTCGAGTGAAAAAAGCGAGACGGATAGATTTTTGTTGGTCGGAGCAGTGTCGATGGTCGCGCCACCTACATTGTCAATGTTGTTAGGCTTACCAAATGGAGTCTAATGGAGTCGATTTAATAAAAATTGTCTGAAAATCAATCGAAACGATGAAAATCCTCAAAGAAATGGTAACGAATGAGCGTATTATCGATGCGAGTTTCTGTTAAAATAGTGCTAAACGTGTTGTGTGCCAGTGATAGCTTCAAAGTGGAAATGTTTACAATGTAGACATGGGAGCCACCTCTGCTGTTTGTCAATCTTTCCCGGAAGATTTTTCACTGTTTTGGATAAATCGAACACTTTTCGTGCTGGAATTTAGCATTTAGACACTGGTTTGGGTAGTTTCGGCCGGCCCGAAACGGCCGAAATCACACCTGTGGGACATAGCCAAAGGCTATGTCCAGGATTTTTATTTCGTTTTTCTCCGACCACTAAAGTTATCACTGGACGCGTTCCACAGCCCCACGGCCTCGCCACTAACCGACGTTTTATTCCAGACATGAATCCGTACCCGGTGCGCCCCATTCCACATAACATGTAGTAAGTACCTCCAGTTGCCCCAAGCCCCCCCTCACCCGCTGGTTTTAGGTTAGGCAGAGTCGATACACTGCCGGCACAATAAGGTGCGATGTCACAGAGAGCAAAAAGGCCTAACCGTTCAGACGATGGATCAGTACCTGTTAAAAGGCGCAAAGTGAGTCCTAAACCCCCCAATTTTTCTCCTATCACTACAAAAATTGCTTTCAGCGTACGGCGGCGGAGGAGGAGGAAGCGGCCTCCTTGGCGGTGTGGCAGCCTCGCTCCAACGACCTAAAAAGCATCTACAATCGGACAACAACCGAGGCGCCAGCCGAGCTCTTCCGCAAAGATTTGATTAGTGCTATGAAACTGCCGGATTCGGAGCCGTTAGCTTCCAACGAGTATTGGGTTATTGTTGATCAGTGGAAGCAGGAGTGGGAAAGGGGGGTCCAGGTGCCAGTCAATCCAGATTCCTTGCCGGAACCGAGCGTCACTATCACACAAAACACACCGCTCAAGCTTCAACATGAGTTCAAACTGTAAGCAGATTATTGCATGCCGTGGAACGATTTTCAGCTGTTTTCAGAAATACCACCCAATGGAAAACAAAAAGGTGTCGGAATGATTCATGGAAATTTATAAAAATTCTAGTTCAAAATTGAAAAAATTACCAGTGGTTAGACACTGTAATTAACGATTTGGATTTTTTTGAATAGAGGTTATTGAGTATTGGAAGTGAACGGGAAGTGTTACAAAAATCAAGCTTTGAAATTTTCAAATTTATAATTTTTGTTATTGAAACATTTACAGAATGTTCAAAAACGTCTGATATTGTGTCAGGGATGTTTAAGTAAGAGTCATGTTTATAGTTTTCTGATAATTGAAGGTAAAAGAAATTAAAACAGTAAAAGAAAATTACAAAGTATTTTATTATTTATACAAAGTATTTTTTAAACAAAAAATTATTTTAATTGATGTATAATGGATAGTTATGACTTGCTATAACATGGAAAGTTGAGATTCAATTTACGAAATGGACATTTTAGAAGAGTTTTTCTGAATTTTTTTCATGTAATTGTAATACAAAATAAATTTACTATTGAAAAATCTGTTTATAAAAAAGCAAATAAGAAAAAAATACTACTTTTTGTACTTTTGTAATACGTTTTGAAATGAAAACATATTTTGCTAAAGCTTTAACTTTTTTGGGATTAATGTTAAACAAAAAAATATCAAGAGAATTTTTTTTATTAAACAATTTGTTGTATGGAAAGTGTAACATTTTTTGTTTAGTTTCTACCACAATGTATTAGAATGTAAAAGTTAGAATTTTTTTAAAATAATGCTTTTATTTATAAAAGTTGAAATTAAACAAAAATTTTGAATGTTTTTCTGGGGAAGTTTAGTTGTTTTCTTGAAATTTGCAACTCTGATTGTTCAGTGCAGACATAATTTTAAAAATAAATTTTATTGAATGAATAAACTAAAAACAAGTGAAATTGTCTCACAAAAATGCGATATTTACAAAAGACCTGTGAGTATTCATAAAAATTGAAAAAAAAAAAACGAAAATGTGAATCTTAGTTGAGTAAATTACAATCTTGAAGTTACATGTTTCGTAAGGTGAAGTTTTTGTTTTTTGAATTTTTTTACGACATTGATTGGTGTAAAAATTTGTCTAGAATTGGTTGTAATTAGTTTTTCTTATTTGCAGGCCAAAAAACAAGTACATCCGCATCACCAAGGACGAGAATTTCAAAATCGAGGATCACGCCTTATCCAACGCTCCCGCTCAATCCGAGGCGGCTTGTTCCTACGACTTGGACGAGTGCGACGTCTCCTGGTTGCGTATTTTGAACTCGGAGCGTTCTCAATGCGGCCAATCCCCCATCTACGAGGACCAACTCGAACGCGTAATCGAGCAATTCGAGCTTTGCTGTTGGGACAAAATCCAGTCGATTTTACGCAACGAGGAAGGTCTCGGTATCGAATACGACGAGAACGTCATCTGCGACGTATGTCGCTCGCCCGATTCGGAAGAGGGCAACGAGATGGTGTTCTGTGATAGTTGCAACATCTGCGTACACCAAGCCTGCTACGGTATCACGCGAATACCAGAAGGCCAATGGCTGTGCTGCACGTGTAATTTAAGTAAACGTCCGAAGTGTGTTCTATGTCCGAACAAAGGGGGCGCGATGAAGTGCACAAGGTCGGGACAGAAATGGGCACATGTCTCGTGCGCCCTTTGGATACCGGAAGTGAGCATCGGATGTGTGGAAAAAATGGAACCGATTACGAAAATTTCGAGCATTCCGCAGAGTAGATGGGCACTGATTTGTGTACTGTGTCGGGAACGAGTCGGCGCATGTATTCAATGTTCGGTGAAGACGTGCAAAACAGCGTATCACGTGACCTGTGCCTTCAAACACGGGTTAGAAATGAGGGCTATCATCGAGGATGAGAATGCTGATGATGGGGTCAAGTTACGTTCCTATTGCGAGAAACACAGCAAATCGAGTAAAAAAGAGAAAAGTGTTTGTTCCGGTTCCGAAGATGATGATTCGCGTAGGAAAAAACGCAAAGATATGACCTCCGAGGAGAAGAATCAAGCTCGTGCTGCTCGTCTTCAAGAAATCGAAGCTGAATTCTACAAACACGTTTCGATTAAAGATGTTAGTATTCATCTTGATGTTGATAATGACGCCCTCCATCACATTTACAACTATTGGAAGTTGAAACGAAAAGCTGGTCATAATAAACCACTTTTACCGCCTAAATCCGAAGATGTTGATATGCTCTCTCATAAACGCGAACAAGCCGATATGGAAAAAATGAAAATGTTTGTGCAATTAAGACAGGACTTGGAACGTGTGCGAAATTTGTGTTATATGGTGAGCAGAAGGGAAAAACTTTCGAGGAGTTTTTTTAGGCTACGCGAACAGACTTTTTATAAACAGACGGCTGTACTTGAAGCTGCACCAAACTTGCCTAATGTTGTTGTACAAGCTGTGATTGAAGCCAATCATGGACCGTCGATTTATGACCGATTGTACTCACATGAGGATGCTGAGGATCATACGAATGATTTTGAAAGGATTTTGACGAGGATTGCTGGGATTAAATCTCCGACGGATTCCGGAGATGAAAAACGGACGGAACTAAACGGACTTTTCAAAGATAAGAATCCCTACAAAAAAGTAAAGTATTGGTATTTATTATTCTTGTTATTATATTGTGTTTTGTAGATTTACTTCAATGGTTCTTCAAATCGACGCAGTGGCAGTTTGTATGGTAGTAGTTCAAGTAGTGAAGGTCGTTTGAATGCAGTAACAAGTTCCGAAGATGAAAGTAAAAAGAAGTCTTCAGTTCGAAAACCTAACAATAACAACAATAAGACGGTTGATCGACGAAGAAAACGACATAGTGCATCTAGTAAAATGGAAAGTAGTAGTGAGGAAGATTCAAAACAGAAAACGAAAAAGACTTGGGGTCAGTTCTCGCGCTTAAAGCAAGTGGAACGTGAATTAGGTTATTCGGGTAGTGACAGTGACGAACTAATGCCAATACGTGCAAGTCAAAAAACAGACACTAAACAAATATCATCGATATATTCAGATAGTGACAGTTCGGACGTATCAATGAACAAAGCAAGTGATTCACATCAAAATAAATTACGAACCAAAGCGTCAGTCAAAGAATTTTCACATAAACCATCAACTTCGAAAAGTCCAAATAAGACAAGTCCCGAAAACAAGAAGAAAATCAAAGATACGAAAAAAGAAAGTCCGACAAAGAAAAAAGATTACGACCCATCCGATCTCATAGTGCCACAACGACAAGCGGCGAAAAAAGCAACCGAAAATCTCAAATCGACGACAACGCGAGTCGTCAAAGAACAAACCGAAGAACCGGTGGTGAAACTCGAAGAAAAATCCACGAAATTACAAAAACCCAAACCGAAACCTAAAGAAACGAAGAAAACTAGCGACGTATTTGATATCGATAAAGAAACAGATCAGGAGATTTTAGCATATGTTCCTCAACGTCAAGCGGCGAAAAAAGCCGCCGAACATATTAAAAGTGGCTTGGGTAAACCGGTGGTGCCTCCCACTGTCGACGAACCAAAGTTGGAAAATGTGGGAAAGAAGAAAGAACCAGAACGGCCTGCTAAAGTCCCTGAAAGTAAACGCAAGTCTTCCTCAAATAGTAGTTCGTCTTCCTCGTCGAGTTCTTCCACGTCGTCATCGACGTCGTCGAGTTCGGATAGTGACGATGAGGCGCCGCAACCGCGATCGGAGAGTCTTTTCTCGAATAAGGAGTGTCGGGAAACGGCTAAGCGGACGAACGCAAGCAAGGACTGGCCCTTTCTTGACAAGGATGCCAAGTCTACAGCAGCGGCGTCCAGCTCAAGCACCGACTCGAGTGATTCTAGCCGTTCCGCCTCACCTGCAAAAGGAAAAATCACCACACCCGATAAGAAATCAACTCAAAGAGAGGAACAGACGAGAATGCGAGGAAAAGGACGACCATCAGCAAGAGGAGGCAGGACGAGGACATCTAAATCCGGTGATCGGATCGGAGATGCTAATGTCAGGGTTAGAAATTTGTCTGATAGCCAACGTAGCGATGCTAAGTGTAGGAAGGGAAAACAGGATGAGGTAATTCATATTTTAATTTCATTTACGTTTTATTTAATTTTTCATTATAGATGGCCGAAAAAGAGACAAAGTCCGTTAACAAACTACAGTCTCCGGTCCGGAAAACGGACAAAAAATTAATCGAAAACAAAGAAATCGAAGTTAGTAATCTCGAAAAGGAAATACTCGAAAGAAAAGCAGGAAAACAAGGCTCGTCAAAGACTAAATCAACATTAGACAGGTTATTTGGTTCTCCTGAGAAAAAGGAGGAAAAGAAATCGCCAAATAAGACGAAACCAATCAAACCTGTTAAATCCACGGTGAAAGAAAACAAAGAACCGGAAAAAGTAACATCACCTGTTAAAAAATCACCGATTAAAAGTAAAAACATCGATGAGATTTTCACACAAAAGACTGTCTTAAACGAGAATAAAATCGAGACTAACACACCGAAACGAGAAGAAATCGAGCCGACAAAAGTCGAAGATGTTAAACAACCCGAGCCTGAAAAGAAACTTCCACGTTCGATTTTCTCTCCACCACATCTCAAAGACAATTTACTCGATTTTGATGATAATCTCGATGACGGTTTTGGCATTTCCAAAGACGAGGAGATTATGAAAGGTCCTCTAACGTTCAATTTTGGCAACACTAGTCTTTTCAAAGAGGATTCAAAAGAGGACAGCGCCCGTGAGACACTTAATCTCGTCGAAAAACTTCGTATGGAAATGTCGAAAAAATCGACGAGTTGTGATGTCGATGATGGTGCGAGTGTTTCATCAAGTACTAAAAATGAGTGTGATAGAACAGAGTTTGCGGAACAAGTGGTCCCGAATTGTGTAACGGAAAAGAACGATGCGAAAATTGAGGATGTACCATCGACGGTGAATTTAGAAATGAGAGTAGAAGTGACTGAAGCTAAAGGTTTCACCGATAGAGGACAGGATTATAGGTTTATGAGTTGTGAAGCGGACGTACCGCTGGAACAAAACAAGAACATTCCAATTCAACAGCATCATGGACTGTCTGATCATGGGATTAGTGGGCAGGGTGATGAGCGATGGGTGCCCCCTAGTGAAGTGTATCCGGCAGTGCCACCCATAGGTAATATCCTTAATTATTTATACAGTTTACTAATCTAAAATCGTAGATCCTTCGAATTATGGCAGCGAGAGTCAACTTCAGCCTCCTCAAACTCCTCAACATTTCATGCAGCAATACTCACTTAATAAGATTAATACTATACCTCCTCAAATCGACATTCTCAAAAACCCATCACCGACGTTACACGACCGTAGAATCTCACAAACGCCCCTCAATGATGATTGTATGCCAAGTCCATCACCATACGCCGATATTCATCCACAAGCCAAATGGGCTGATAGTGAAATTATGCCCAATCGACGCTCTTCTTCCAGTTCAGCAGCTTCGACTTCCAGTTCGTGTTCGCGTCGTAATGACGAAGACGAAGTTAAGATGCGACCCGATGTCATGATGGTCAATCATCAAGCTCTTGAAATCGGTTATCTTCATCCCCAGGGAATCCCATTTCCGCCTGAACTTTTCCCAACACTTCCCGACGCCTCGCAGTTTGTCAGTCCGGTAAGTCTCCTTCATCCGCCTCCTTTGAATCCCTCTTTAGCGTTTCCTTCAACCGCTCCGGCGATGTTACCGCCAGCTTTTGCTCCATTTCCCGCCTCGCAAGTTATACCAACATTGTCGAAACCAGTGGAAGATGTACAGCATTCGTTGACGTGTACGGCAGCTTTTACATCATCACAGCATAATATGGCCTTGACAGCGGCCATTGCAAATTTACCACCAAGTATACCCAAAGAAGTGGAAGCACTTCCTGAAGATGAGGTTGCACCGGCGGCTCCTCCAGAACCACAACTATCATCACCGAGTCCTTCAATCAAGTCGAATAGTTCCGGGAAGAAATCGCCCAGTAAACCGACAAGGACATCGGCAAGGGTCACCTCACAGGGTAAAAGTCCAAAACAGGAAGTTGTTAAACCTCCCGGAAGAGGTCGTGGTGATGCTAGACGAAATTCAGTCAAGTCTAACACTTCGAGAGGGAGAGGTCGAGGTAGAGGTCGAGGTCGGGCACATACTCACAATGATCATGAATTTATCGGTACCAATACAATTCATAATAAGTTAGTTGGGACTGTGTACGATTTGGACTTTGATGACGACATTTCAAGTGAAAATGTTGATTTGAAATCGATGAGAGAGCGTCGAAAATCGGTGGATGTTCAAAAAACCGAATTGAAAGAAAGTTCCGAATCGCCGTCTCAAAAACGTTACAATGATTTAAGAGAGTTGAGGCCCCCGACACCGGTCAAGGAATCGGTACCGAAACCAACCGAAGTTGAGCCGATTTTCCCCGATATGGTACAGCCGGTATTACCGGGACCTGTAGATATGCGAACATATAGTAGTAATTTCGATCAGAGCTACCACGAGGCTAATCTCCTAAGGGCGTTTGATTCGGGAACGACGGAACCACCAGTCAATGAAGAAATCGACGAGGAGTTTGAAAAGGAGTTGCAAACGGCTTTAACAACACCGAGTAAAAAACCGGAAGAACCTCCAGCAAATATTAAAGTTTCTTTATCGGATTCACGGAATCAATTGAAAGTTAAGATTAAAGGACCGATTGCGAATTATTCTTCGACGATACCACCGTTACCACCACCGGTTGTCGATCCGGTCAACGTTTCGAGTATGAACTATGTATCGAATAACGTCATTAGTAATAATTCGATTGGAGTGAGTTCAGGTACTTCGAATTTGAGAAGGATGCGAAAGAAGGAATTACTAAGGCAGTATTGGACACAAGATATGAATATGGATGATTCATCTTGTACTCCGGGTTTTAACGCTACTCCTACCGTACCTCCCGTTAATCGTACTATTATCACTATACCTAAGGCTGTGGCATCAATGACCAGTATTCCTACAAAAGACGATTATAGAGATTATAGGACAGGGTCTGATGACGTCATTGAAACAAAACAACACCGGAAAGAAACTAAATCGCGACCAGGGGCTCTCTCTCGAGAATTAAGACAATTAGACTTGTCATTAGACGAAGACGGATTGTTAGAAAGGAGAAGAAGTATAGGTTCAATTGGTAGTAACAATTCGACGACTTATGACTCTTCTACTAATAAACGACGAGGGAGACCCCCACGACCATCACAACAATCATCAGGAACCCCGAAAATAAAAATCAAGATTGGTAATAGTATAGTGGGGAAGATAGACGATAAACGGGACCGAATAAGACCACCAAAGAAACGTCTAGCGAACATAAACATGCCCAGTGTTGAAGACCTGAAACGTGAGAGTATGAAATTCAGAAAGTTGGTAATGGCCGATTTTGACGAAGGTAAAGAAAAACGAAAAAAGAAAGACAAGAGTGAGAAACGCAAAAGGAAAAAATCTAAACCCGAAGTGCAGATAATTTCGAGTGAGAGTCAGAATAAGTTGATTATTCGGATCGGTAAAAAGGTGGAGGGTGAGGTGAGGACTAGTGGGGAAGGGGGTGGTGGTGGTGGTGTTGAGAGTGGTGCTCCAATCAAATTGAAGTTGTCGCGGTGTCAAGAAGGTAGTGGTTATGTGATGAAGAGGACGACACAACAGCCGCCGAGTGTTGAGACGAAGGCCGAGGAGGCGACACAGCCAGGACAGCCGCCACCTCCTGCAGCGGTGGTGGTGACGCCGCCGCCGCCGCCGCCATCGCAATCGACGCCGTCTCTCGGTTTGGGGGAGGGAGTGCCTCCGCCGCCGCTGCCCCTCAACAAAGACTGTGAAGTTAGATGATAGTCGTGTAATATAGGTAGGTGACCAGTGAGGCAGGTTGTACAGACGCTAGCTGCTACTTCACCTGTTTTAAATCCACGTTGTTAAGCTGTCTAGTGTATTATGTGTAGGCTAAGCGAGCACATGTATGTCATTAATTTCAGTGTACAAAGTCAATTACAGCCGCAAACGTGTAATCATATTTTTGTACATATTGTAAGTTATGGTATTTGTGAATATAAATAGTACTAATTTATATATACATATTAATATCATTTAAAATGATTAACTCGTGTTGACAATTTTGATAGCTAGAATCGTTATAGAATTTCATCAGATATTGTACAGAACAAATGGCTTGAGTGCAATCTTTTTTATCGGTTGTTTGTTGTGAGAGAGCCATTATTTTATTATTGTACAGTCTTTATTATTATTTTTTAACATTCGTTTGTGCGACATTGTACTATAAATTTACTTAAAAGAATTTATTATCTATTTATAGTTATATATAGTTAATTTTATTTTTTATATTTCCGAACATGTTTTTATAAGTGTACGTGTTGTATCATAATAGATTACTTCAAGTATTAAAGCACAAGCCATTTGTTGTTTCATGTTACATGATACAAAATAATATTATAATAAATATAAAATATGAACAAAGTCGACAGTTTTCTATTTCAGGCAGTCCACACACACGATTTCCTATCTTTATTATTTTTTTTGTTTATTTCTTTACATGCTTTTACAGCATCACTCAAAACAAAAGCACACACACGACATTCTCTTGTTAACATAATGTGTATATTTTTCTCTACCAGCCGGACTGTAAGATGTATGTGTATAATTTCACAAAATGTACACATAGTTGATTCGTGAATTATATTCAATTTTATATAAAACTATGTTTGTGTTGTGATTTATTTGAAACCAACCCATTTTTCAAAAGGTTAAAATATATGACCAACAGTAATTACTTAACGACACAAAAAAAAAGAATAAAGGTAAGTGTAAACACTTTAATCAAATAATTTTTATATTTTTGTTTTTTTTTTAAATTATCTTTCGAGAGTTTTTAGAATAATGACGCTATTTTGATTCAGGGAAGCAAAAATCTTGCTGCGAAAACTATAAAACTGCTTTAGTGTCTCTAAAACTAAGCAAGTAATGTGGAAATCTGCTGGAAACGTCTAAAATTTTCCCATTTTCTGTGAGATTTTTCAGACATGTCTGAAATTTTTATCATGTCCTATACTACTTAAAAACTGTAAAACTGGTGTTGTGCTTAGTAAAAAAATGTAAAGTGTTTTTCTGAAATCGTCTGTAAAGTATACATGAGTATAATGTTGGTTGCATAATATTTTAAATTTTGTTATACAGGGTGTTTCACAAAACTTTACGAGGCTTGCGCCTAAAGTACGCACCCAAATATACAAAAGTCACAAAACACTGGATACAAAAATCCACATCTAATTCTTTAATTTTTGGAAACCCATGACTGGTTGTCAAACTAATCACTGTGTCATTAATAGTCATAAACTGCAGTTTTTCATAAACAATTATCATTTGTTCTATCAAGAAACGGCATGAATATGATTCTAGTTTATCTCTCTTAATCACTAACTAACTAAAAACGTTGTAATTTTTGAAAGGGTGAACAAACTAGAGAACATTATTCAATTTTTCAAAATTTATAATCGAGTTCGTATCGGAATATGTATTATTGAGCGCAGGCCTCGTAAAATTACGTGAAACACCCTGTATACACTTATACAAGATGATTTTTTAAAAACGACAAGCGATGTAGAAATTTTATTTATAGTCCAATTTCAAAAAAAATACAAAATAAATTAAATGGCTTTTAATCTAGTATAAGCTGACGATTTTAGAATTTTTCTAAATGTCATAGTTTTGTGGCTATATTCAACTTTCTAATTTTAAATAGGGACCCATATATTTTTCCATAATTTGAAAAATATGAGTTTTGGGATAGACATGTGCAGTCTCTTCTACTTTTACTAAAAAATATTGTTTAAGAAAATATCAAAGTTAATAAAATCTAGTTGTTTGGTGTCAATAAAAACAATTGTCGTTCACAATATTTTTTAAATTAATAACACTAAATTAGATGTTTTTTTGATTTGTTATAGGTTATAGTAATGATTGTGATTTTTTATTAAAAACTTGAAAAAATATTGGAAATATTTTCTTTTATTTGCTGCTTTTTGACATTACAGTAATGGCATTGTCTTATTTGACACAATAAAGCAACTATATTTTATAACGTTTTATTAATGTTTTTTTTAACTTTGATAATGTTTATTTGAAATTTTGATTTTTGAAATCGGGCCATAAATACAAATTCTACACCCCGTACTTTATTGTAAACAATTTTTTTTCAAAAAAAAAATTGTTAATAGAGTCGCAAGGATTGGCGACGTAATAATTTTCCCATAAATTGTCATTATTTAACACGTGATTACCCAATTTTTTCTCACGATCGAACAAATTTTTATAAAAATTGAATATGACATGTCCAGGCTTTAATTTGAACTCATTTGATTTTATTTTAATTAAAGTTTTTTTTTTGAAATGGAAAACAACACCGACGTTCAAATTAAAAAAAAAAGAATTTAGGTACATAAACTGCTCCACAAAAATTAAGGAAGTCGCATTATTTTTGCAACAAACAAATCTTGTTCTTCGAAGCATTGTGGAATCCAGCAAAAACAAAAAGATTTCTGCCTTTATCTCACTTTTAATTAATTATTAATTTATTTTTTAATAATTATTAATTTAATTAATTATTGCACACTTCCTTAACTTTTGTGGAGCAGTTTATTTTACTCAGTTTGAGAAGATGAATTTAAAAGTGCAATGAAAATGGGTAGTTTCCATTTAGAATTTCAAAGTTGATGCCAATTTTCTGAAAGTCCAGTTCGGTTATGTTTGGAAAATCTTTGTTATGAACTGGGAATGCAACTTTAAAAATTTATTAAAAAAAAACTACTCATTAAAAAACAATTTTATTTAATTAGAAGCTATTTTTAGATCATAGTATGTAATTAAAAAAACCGTCATACAGTGGCGGACATGGAATTTTGGACGTCAAATTTATGTCAGTTTAAAAAATGTCAATGTAAGCCACGCTTTATTAAAAGTTTTGAAAGTTGAAATTTATTTTTGGCGTTGATTTTCCAAAACAATAATGCCAGCAATACGTGTTTTTATATAAGTTCAATAAATTATTTTGATTTGTTGTCATTTTTTTCTCTAGGTATCAGGATAAATATTACAAAAACCAAAAGTAAGGTTAGTTGCCTAAGGCCCGTTTTATATTTTTATGTCAGTCAAATGACAAATCATCTAAAATTAAAAAAAATTGCTAAACTGGAAAACTATAAAAGGAATTTTGAAAAGTTTTATTTTTAAAAAACGATCACACTTTTTTTTGTAAAGTTATTAGTTTATGCTAAAAACGCTTGGCTCCTTATTTTTTATTCACCCTGTATGTACCAATATTCAATAAAATGTTTTCTTCGTGGCAATTCAATAAAAATGATAACAAATTTTAAACTTTGTTTGGTCGCAATGAATAACAAGGCACTAAAGTTGAATATTTTTAGATAGTTTTATATATTTTTTCAACATTACGTACTCTTAGTAGTATAAAGGCCCCTTCAGCACACAACACTTTTTAAGGTAAAACACCCTGATTTTCAAGGGTAAACTGAAAAGCAGTGGGCTCCTTCAGCACACAGCACTTTTTAAGGTAAAACACCCCGATTTTCAGTGGTAAACAGAAAAGCAGAAAAAATCGTGAAATCACTTCCCATTTTAAAGGCATATTTTAAAATTAACATTTTTAAGGTAAAATAACCCGATTTTCAAGGTAATCTAAAAAAAAAGTAAAAAATATCAAGCAAAATAACCCGATTTTCAAGGTAYT